ATATAGAACTCTAGAACTATTGTAAAACAAACCGGAACTCTAAAGAAATAGTTAATTTAAATAGTTTTTTTGATTAGGTGCGCTTCGAGAACTTAGCGCACCTCTTTTTGAAAGTCTTTTTTTTTGTATTTAATGACCGGAACTGTTTAAAATTGTTGCATAGAGCTCTAGAACTTTTCAAGAGACTATCAGAACTGCAAAAAAAATGTCATATTTTTGAATATGGTGTGCCAAGACTTGGCACACCATATTTCAAAATGTGACTTTTTTTTTAAAGTTTTGATACTCTCTTGAAAAGTTCTAGAGCCCTTTGCAACAATTTTAAATAGTTCCGGTCATTAAATACAAAAAAATAGACTTTTAAAAAAATGTGCGCTAAGTTCTCGAAACGCACTTAGTCAGTAAAATCAACTATTTCTTTAAAACTATTGTTATTCAATATTATGTATACTGACTTTGTTTGTATTATCGGGCGCTGTCAATTTATCAGTCCCTTCAGCCATAATTTCTTGTTTTTATTATATTTTATTTTTATTTTATTGCTGTTTTTCCAATGACAAATTTTTCTTACATAATTATATACAATTATATAAAATTATATATAATTATACATAACTATGTATTATTATATATCAAATTTGTCCATTCATGTTCATACATTCTACTTATACATATAATCATGTATAATTATATATATAAATTCATATATAATTTTACATAATTATGATTTATATGTAATTATACATATTGTTATACATAATTGTGTATAATGATATATAATGTTATATGATTATATTATACATAATTATGTATGGACAAATTTCATACATAATTATGCATAAAAAATTTTTCATTGGGTTTATATGGCCTATTTTATTCACTTAACTACACTTAACTACAATCACTAGAAGTTGAACTGTGTCAAACTTTGAGCGTTTATCTGCATTCGTCTTTTTAGCGATAATTAATGGAGTGGTGATAAACGCCAGATTTTATTCGCTAAAAGTTGGACTATGTCGAACTTTGAGCGTTTATTCACTACTTTCACCATTTCGGTGAAAATTGATGGAGTAGAGTGGAACGCCAGCTTTTATTCGTTGCGTGAAATCGCACCTTTAGAGTGAGAAAAAATAGATTTGTCTCATTTTCATTTAATGCTCTAGTTCAGCAGTGCAGCTAAAAAGAACAAACCAAATGAAGACTTGTGTATGCGCAAAATATAATTAATCTACCTTGTCCAATGGGAGTGTTCCCTCATTGGAAAACGAATTCCATTGGACAAGATGAAATGTTCACAAACTTATCTAAAAAACGACGATAATTTTGTCCGTAATAGATAAGAAAGATTAATTTAAGATCTTAAATATACAAAATCTGACTATATAAATATACCGCTCTAAGAAAAGTTTACTTTAAAATACGGAAAGAATTATCATGTATTTATGATATTTATGATTAGGAGAAATGTTCACAGAGGAAACTATAAACCGATATTTATAGCCGAATCTTATAGCATGTTCGACTGGCTTTGGGTTAATCGCTCCGAGAGCGATTAATGTCATCATAAGTTTTTACTAACCAATCATAAAGCTTAAAGTAGTTACTCGACCAATAAATGTAGGCTGAATAACCCAGAGTGGATTAACCCAGAGCCAGTCGAACATGCTATTATATTTAATACTGTCTTAAGTTTATCTTCAAATACTTTGTAGCCAATAAAATCATCTATAGACTATCTAAAAATGAACTTAAGACGGTCTTAAATATAAACCCAGCGGCACACGATGCTTGTTTTCGTACTGTTTGCTGAATGGAAATATTCTGTTCTAATTGGTGCATTTCTAAAAATGGATGGAAATGCATTAATCAAAACAGAGTATTTCCATCCAGCAAGTAATTCAGCACGAAAACAAGCACCGTATGCCGCTGGCTTTATTCTCGTCTTATCATTAGAAAAAATTCGTAATTTATTAACACCCCGTATATCAAAACTCGAGCGATCGAATTGAACGAGAATCGATAGTATCGATATTGATCGACCTGCAAATAGTGTTCTTTCGTTTTGACTACACTTTTTGCACTTGAAACGAGTACGGTGTGTATCGTGCCTCGGCGAGAAAGAGACGGACGGTCGCGAGGTACAGAGAGTGCAGTCGGAAAGGGCAAACTCGGCGAAATTATAAGCGATAATCACGGCTAGCGGAGTCGCCAAGTTGCTGGGCGATCGAGCGAGGTTGATTGCGGTTGATTTCGTTTCGCGAGTGGGATCGTACGCAATTTTACGGATCGTTCGCCGCGTCGCCTTCGATTTCGCGCACGTCGTTATGAGCCAATAGAATTTTGACGAGTCCGATCAACGCGCGCGGCATGTCGCCGTCATCGAGAGACAACCAGTCCCGGCGGTCCTCCGAGGTATGCTTCCCAGATTCGTGTCCGCGGCAGTGACCCACCCCGACGAAATTGTCGCGTTCACCAGTGCTGCATAATCGAACAATGGAGAGCAACCCGGACGAACAACACGCGATCAAAGTGAACGGAAATGGTACGTTATTGAACGACTGTTAGCTCTTGTTTAGGTCTTCGCCGTCGGCGGCTGTTCGCTGCGGCCTATGATATTTACCTTTGTACCGAAAGAAATTGCCCCGTTTCCCACTGAGAATGCATTTATTACGATTCAGAGGATCTACAGACGAAGATTCATAGGTTGGAGTCGGAAAACGTCAAGATGCGAGAGGAGTTCAATGTACAAAGGGCCAAGATGAAAGAATTGTTTCTTCAGAAGGAAGGTGAGTGGAGCATGGAGTTTGTGGTTTCTCTTGATCCAGCGAGTGGAGCATTGCAATTAATGAATTTTACAGAGGAATTGAAACATAGATTAGACGAGAACATGGGTCTGCAGAAGGAGAACCTGAAACTGAGGAACGAACTGGACGAAGCCAAAAGCCAGCTAGTTGTGGCAGATCTCAAGATACAGAATGACATACTGGTGGAGAAGAGAAAAGCTCAGGAAGAAATAGCGTCGTTGCAACAAGTTATACATGAAACAGTAGAAGAATCTTCTTGCTCTAGGAAACATCTGGTCAGTGAAGTGTCCAAGTTACAATTAGCTCTCTCCAAACTTCAGGAGGAGAATGCATTGCTGAAAACGCAATTACCACGTGATCCACCGACAGATGGACCGCAAATCTCGTTGTCTACAGTAACTAAAACTTTAGCTAGAAAAGTGGTTTCACAATTAGGTGCAGATTCTTTATCCTTAGGTCCTGATAATTTAGAGGAGAGCATGCGGAAGGTAAAAAAATATGTACGTACATCTAAAACTGCATGAAGCATTTAACATTTTATATATAGCTACATTGATTGCACATAATATATGAATGGCTTCGTTCAACAGAGAAAGCTGCTTTGCAACTGTTAGATTCGTGTAAGAACTGCAAGATTCATGTATCTGATTGATATATGCCCTTAGATTCACTCAAGATCAAGAACATACTCCAGTGAGATTCACGAATTTCATGACTATTGCAAAATAGCTATCTTTGCTAACCATTAATTCTTGAAACAATGACTAACGCTTGTTTTGTAACAATAGGAGTAGTACTTGTGAAATTTATTATTAGAAAGATGTAGGAACAATGCCACTGTATAAGTATATAAATTATTCGGCTTTACAGGCACAAGAGGATGCGGAAGTTCTGCGTTCGCTAGTCGTACCGCTCGAGGAGGAGATAAAAGCTTTAAAAGAAAAATTAAGATCGACCGACGATGAATTGCAGAAATGCAAAGAAACTCTATTACAGAGACGACACCAAGAGCCGGGCTCGTTTGAGCCATCGTGTGATATGTGCGCGAATTACGAAGCACAATTAGTCAAAGTAGAAGCAACTGCCAAGGATTTGGAGAAGCAGTTGTCAGATACTCAGCGTATGCTGCAGGCTCAAAGAGAGGACTTGGCTAAGGAAGTGGAGTTCCGGAAAGAGATGGAAGAGAAGTGGAACGAGAAGAAGGAGGAGCATAAAATCAAAGTCGCGGAGCTTACAGTCACCTCGCAAACGGCGCAGCAAACTTTAGTTGAATTAAAAAGATCCATCGAACAATTTCAGAAGAACGCATCTGAGGAACTCTTTAAATTGACGAGAGGCAGAGAGGACGTACAAAGACATCTCACTGTGTAAGATAATCTCCATGACTGAGGCCTTTTTTCATGATGTCGTGTTGAGTAACAATGTATCAATAAGTTAAGTGGCGTACGTATAATTAATAAAGCTTTATTTAAAATCTAGTTACATGCTTACAGACTACAGAAGGAAAACGAGAATCTTGTTGGCAAGCATAGCAAGCATTCGCAACAGCTTCAAAGTGAAAGTATCAACATGCCAAATACCGTGGAGGAGTTGCACGTTAGTCTCTTAAGGATGCGCGAGGATTTAATTACTGCTAGAGTGGCGCAGGAGGTTGCGCAAGAGAAAGGCGAGACGTTGCGATACGAAGTGACACTTTTGAGAGAACAAATGGAGCAGGAGAGCAGGGTTAAAGAACAAGATAATTCTGTACTGAAGAACGAGATAAGCGGATTGAGGTTGGATTATTTGTTCAATCACAATGGAATTATCGATTACGATCGCTTACGTATAATTGTCAACATAATATTCCTATCTTTCCAATTATTTGCAGAGCACAATTAGACAAGTATATAAGAGATCATCGTACACTCGCTGATCGAGAGGAGAAGCTCGATCGGCTGGAGAAACGGTTACAAGAAATTCAAAAAGAGAAGAAGGATGCGGAATTAGCTATTAACGAACTACGGCAGAGAGTCACGAGTCTACAGCAAGAGTTGGACACCAGTGAGGCAGTTCAGAAGGATTTTGTCAGATTGTCACAATCGTTACAGGCAAGAGAAACAATATCTAAAAAAAGGGGCAAAATTAAAAATATAACAAGGTGCACGCACATGTGGGTATATGAATGCATATGAATACGAAACATTCCTCGTTTATTGTAGGTACAATTGGAAAGGATCAGACAGGCTGGTAGTGAAGTGAGGTGGCAACATGAAGAGGACGTTGAAGAATGTCCTAGTTGTCATACCACGTTCTCAGTCACGAAGAAGAAGGTAAGCCAAGGAAATGTATATATTGTATAAACTGTAACTAAAAAGCAAAATTGTAACTGAAGACAATGTAATGTCATGCAGGTACATTGTCGTCACTGTGGCCATATATTTTGTCAATCTTGCCTCTCGCATGTCGTGAATAGTGGGCCGAAACAAAGACCATCCAGAGTCTGTGATGTTTGTCATACTTTATTAGTGCAAGATACCGCACCGTATTTCAGCCAAGAACCTCCACATACACCTGACTAAATGTTCTAAAGTTATGGAATTTCTTAATGCAGTTCAGTGAGATGTGCAATATCAGTTTGGTAATTAAGCGGTCACTGATTGGCATACCTCAACTGACGTACTGATTATAAATTTGAGTAACGATGACTCTCCTTTATTTGTAGAGAGAGTTAGAAACGTTGATGATAGTGTAAGAAAGAGAGAGTGAGTGAGTGAGGTTTAGATAAGATTCCTATTACCTGAAAATTGGAGTGATACACAGCAAATATCGTGTAAATATAAAGTTATGTATTATCTCTAATGGTTATTGTAATTTAAACAGATTAAAGCTTTTGAATGTATGTGAGTTATCCAAAAGAGATCGTATTTATATTACAACGACTTATCTTAATTATTGATGTAAATGAGAGTCGGCAGATTTTTGTTAAATAGAACTTTGCATAAATTTACTTTCTACGCATTTGTCAACAAGTTCTCTCATACGTTTAATCTTACATCTACACTTATTTTGTTTTTAACGTATTGAACGGTAATAACCGAGTCTGCAATTTTAATTACCGATAAAACGCGCAATCGGATTTACTATTATTATTTAATTTTCTATTCCTACGAGAATAATATTAAGTTTACGATAGGTGAGTATTATCTTGCTATAGCTGCTATAAAAAAAAAACTTCCTGCACATATCTAATGTTCTTAAAGAAATCCTTAATATTTAAAAGTAATAGATTCAATACTTCCATAAATTTCAATAACATTTGATAGACATTTGTAAATAATTAGCGTAAATTGTATTTTATATATATTATCTTTAGTTACTCGAAATATTTTCATCAATTTGAAGACATTAACGCATCGATAATTTAATTTAATCATTCGTACTTTATTATATTTATATAGGAACAAAATGCTTGAGATACACAAAAATTATATTTATGTAGCTTTGTAATTTATATATTATATTTTTAAGTTTTTAGCTAGCAAATTTTACAAATTTTTAAAACGAACAAAATACTTTTTTTTTATCAAGTTACTCAGAATTTTAAGGGCTTAATAGCTATTTTTCTAATTACATTATTATTAACACAGGCGCATATATATACTGATTTCTTTTTACTTAAAAAATACGCAATAATTGAGGACTGAAGAATCTATATAATTTTGAGATATACAATAAAATTAATAAATTATAAATGCGTCCGGTAAGCGCGCTCACAACAAAAAAAGAAAATAGTTTTCGAGACCTGAGGGGCAGTTCTCTTTAAATATAAAATTGTTAACAAAAAGTGCATCGTAAAATATAAAATGTAGATACGAACAAAAACTAACAAATTGAAAATTTTATATTAAAGTGAGATATATATATAAATAGAAAATATTTTAAAATATATATATTTTTATACGCGCGGCGATTTCTCTCTTCAACACATCCAATTAGAGACGCGATCAGAATGCTCTAATTTCACATAAGTATTAAACTCAAGCATTACCCCATATAACATTTATATTTCGCGCAGCGTCATCAATAATCAATAATCAAGATAAATAACGAACTTACATTTAAATTTTAATAATCGCGCGTTAAGAGACAACAAATAAGTAAGGCTAATTTGAGCGCAAATAATAATTATAAGCGCTGTATCAAACAGCATTCCGATAGAAATGTTCTTGTTTAGCCACTCGCGTGGCATATTATTTCCACAATAATCTCGCTTCTTTCCCTCCTTCGTTTCGGCTTGAACTAGCCTTATTTACTCGCAATCTTAAGTTAAATCGAGTCTTTTGCAATGTCTCCAATAATTGTGTCACTTGAATTCAATTATCAGGCTGATAATAGTTTGCGATGCCAATGCTATTTGCGCACATGTTAGAAAATATCGACACAAGACAATCATTAAACGTACGACCAGATCAGTGATTTAAAACTTCCTAATGTGAGTTATACAATTTCTCTACTTTGGCCCAATGTCTTACGAACGCAACAGAGACCAACAGCTTGCTCGACGACATGCAATGACATAAGATTCGAATGACACACTTATTGGTATATCACATAGAAAAGAACAGAGTGAGTATGGCTGAGATTGGCTGTGGACGTTTCTGCAGATCGATCGGCGGATCCTCCGATTGAGCATGTTTATCTCTAAGTTCTCTCCAGTGCGTCAACGTATCTGTGTATTCCAATATCTTCTCAAAATCATCCAGCTTGCTGTATACATGCAGCAGCCCCCGATAATCGTATTCTAAACCACTGTAACTCTTTCCGAACAGCTTCAAACCTGCCGAGACAATATATGATGTAATATTGTGTATGCGTGTCGCAATTGCTCAACATAAAACGCACATATACTCACTTATTGCGATGCTACGATAATAAAGCTTTTCAGCGTCTCTGTAGCGATTCATATGGAAATTATATAACGAAGCTAAATGCCCTATACTTAAACCCACTTCGTAATCTTCGGGACCTAACAATTCTTCTTTGATACTAATAGCTCTCAGATGCATCGCTTCTGCTTCCTAGGACGCAACAGATGTTGAATATATAATGAGACACAATTATACGTGTGTGTGCAGCGTAATACCTGAAATCTTCTCATACTCTGGTACAAGCGTCCCAGATTTCCATAATGCTTCGCCGTCTGTACGTTTTTCTCGCCGAACGCGGTTTTCGCCAATTGCAAAGCGGACAAATGCAGACACTCGGATTTCAACAACAAGCTCTGCTCGGACAACGGCGTAGACGCGTTATCTATTGCGATCTCCTCGAGAATAAGTGCCTTCACTCTCTTAGCGCTCGCGAGCATTAGATGATTCGCAGGTAGAAGTTTTTCTATGATATCTATAGCTAGTCCAGCGTGATCGCTGTAAAACGAGCAACGCGGCTGGATCAGTTAATTGTATAACGGAACACACGCGGAAGCGATTATATGACTGCTTACCTCGCCTCGTCAAACTTGCCGGAACTGTATTCATACACGTAGAGAGCATAAGCTAAATCTTCGTGCGCCAATGCAACGTGGAGATTAGTCTTGCCGAATATCGCTTTTCTAATGTCTAGTGCAGTCTGCGGCAAAGAGAAGTACTTTAGAATTCCTCCAACGAGCCCGATCGGGAAGATTCGTGAAATTACGCGTGTCCCCATTAGGAATACCTTATAGACAGATACGCTATTGATGATGCTATCGTAATTCAGTAAATAGAATCCATAATCGATGAGAACGTCACTGTACTTTGGATGATCCGTGTCAAACACTTCTCTCGCAAGGTATACAGCCTCTCGGATCAACAAGCCAGCTTTCTGAAATTCCCGCTTCACCACGCATGACTTCGCCGCCTGTCTCAGCACATCGATAACGACTCGCGCGGGTAGCGACGAGTTTAGATATTGTAACGCCTCTATGCTCCATCTACAACGGGCAGACGTCGGTGAAGATATATGCACAGGTGCCGTTGAGTGAGCGCGCATACCTGTAAGCCTGATCGTATTCGCTGCGTATGAAGAATAGTACACTGAACTCTGCAAAAAGTGCGGCATGATTGCTATCGTAATATCCCACGTTCTTTAATTGTTCTATCATGTCTACGGCAAGTTCGTGAGTTTTTGCAGCTCCACGAAAAGCGCAGTATGCTGCTTGTGCATGTAACAGCCTGAAACAGCATCACAATCGTATCAATGATAACGCTCATTAACCGTAGTTGTGTATAGATATGGACAGATATCTATGTGCAGCTATGGACAGATATGGACATGAAAATAACGTAAAAGGGGCAATAAGAGTCAAAGCACAAAATTAAAAGTGCGACAACAAATTAAATTATATAATCAAGTACATGTCGATAATATACAATTGTATAATTTAATTTGTATTGCACTTTTAAATCTGTGCTTTAGATCTTACTGCCCTTCTCACATTATTTCCATTTCACTGTTTCTAACACCACAGCCTAAACATTGTTACTCTTATAATCTCTCTTAATCTCTTATAATACTCTTATATAAACATGCCTCATCCTTACTTGTGACAACAATCTAACGTTCTGCACCAATTCTGAGGGGTTTGATTGGAGGCGATACACAAGTTCCTGCAAGTGGACAGTACTTGCTCACTTTCCACATACCAACCAGCATCGCTGAGAAATCCACCGAGTCTCAAGCCTAGATTTATCATCTTATCCTGCTCAGCAGGATTCTCCCCCACACGAAAGCAACATACGTCATAACTGATCGCCAATTCCTTTCCTACCTTGGTTCCATGATCCATTAAAGCCTTGGAAACAACAGGTATATCGCAAATTAATTCCCGATATCGGATGAAAGAAGTAACGAGTAGAGGTATGAAAAAGAAGAAAAATGAAAAAGATCCGTGTCTTGTCAGGTCACCTGGAAGGTTTGCAAGAGGTGTATCCGGCGATTGGTGACCTTGAGGATCTTGGAGAAAGTCTCCAAGTCGCTCAATTCCATCCCCAGCAGGCATAGTCTCTTCTCTCTGTACAACTGGAAAGACAGGACAAGATCCGTCCATGTGAGACACACGGGACATTGTGCGAAGGCGAGCGGCGATCGTTACCGTTAGCGTGCGCGTTGATAGGGACCGCGATTTGTCGTCCACATGGCGATCCCGACGGTATCGCGAAAGAATTCGCGACGAGGCTCTCGCGCATTGTCCAGCCGGACAGAGTCGGGCACGAGAGATGACTCATAACGAAAATGGTAATCGCGCGGTGGTTTCGCGACGAGACGCCGTCGAACTTCTCGGGCTGCCGTGAGCGCGAACGGCGCGTAGATTAGGACGCGATAGCGAGCTAGCTCGTTCACGCGACATACGAAGGGAGACGGGGTCGGAGAGAGGAAGACGCCGCGGTCGATGCGAAGTATATATCGTTCCCTCGGCGAAGACAAAACAAATATACAACTACATCACGCGCGATGACGGTGACAAGCGAGCGACGGGCCGCTCTCTCGCTGCCATGACGTTTCCGATGTTTACCTGATAGTAGATATCGAACAGCACATTCTCGGGCAAATAAGTAAGATACGGCTTGTAGCTGGATAACTTGTCCGCTACCGCGGACACGCTCAACTCGTACAGACTCTTCGTGGAAAACACCCGTGACTCGCGTCCATCGGCCATTTTCGCGAGGCCTTTGATTAATCACCAATACAATCGCAATATTGTAGCTGTCATGTCTCTCTTTCTCTCCGCCTGTCCCCCTCTTTTTCTACTGCATACGCGCGATATGCGCGTACGTACTTTGCACAATCGGTGGAACGAAACGAAGCGCGCCGCTGTTCGCGGACGCGGAACGTACGCGAAGTGCTATCTAGTCGCTAACTGCGAGCCTCTGCAGAACCGACTGCTGTAAATTCGTAAATAAATCGTTTTTGTCAAGCAGAGAAAAGAAGGAGAGGGCCGGCTGATTCGCGAATGGAACGCGCCATTATACAAATGTGCACGAATTTCTTCAGTAACAACTAATGACTTGTGATTCTGCTCCGTGCTATATACATAAATTACACAAAGACGATCGAATTAATCACCCCTTCAGTTTCTGGAGCCTCTTTTTGCCAGTACAAAAATTTACCCTAATAGAAATATTTTACTGAAAATCCCTTTCAATTGACTCCTTTTCATTCAAATTCATTGTTCACTGTTTACACCAAAGTTTTTAATTCAAGGACGATGAAAACGAACACTTTTTCTAACGTTTAGATGTTTCACAAAATTAACTTACACATTAAACTTGAGAACTTTAAAATATTGGGTTGTCGGAAAAGTCATGACGCATTTTTGCAACAGATGGCACTAGTTCATTTTTGGAAGTACTATAGTTATTCGCATCTATGTTATTGCTATGTCATTTGACAGCTAACAGTTCTAGCTTCATTCTAAAAAAAAATTGACCGATTTGGTTGAGTTTTGGAGATTTTATAACAAGTTGAAGATGGAAGACCAAACTGTGCATTTTCGCCATATATTACTGTTTTACTTCCGTAAAGGGAAGAACGCGCGTCAAGCCTGTGAAAAGTTGCGTAATGTTTACGGTGACAATGTTGTACAAGAACGTCAGTGCCAACGATGGTTCACGAAATTTCGTGCTGGTGATTTTGATCTCAAAGATGCTCCTCGATCAGGGAGGCCTATCGAGGTTGATGACGACAAAATAAAGGCATTGATCGAGTCAAACCCACGTTACACGACACGAGAGATTGCAGAAATATTGAACATCCATCATTCAAGCGTTCACGACCACCTGAAGAAGCTGGGATACGTAAGCAAGCTCGATATTTGGGTTCCTCATGAACTCAAAGAAGTTCATTTGACGGCGCGTATAAACATCTGCGATATGCTCATTAAACGTGAGGAAAACGATCCTTTTTTGAAGCGACTGATAACTGGTGATGAGAAGTGGATTGTTTACAACAATGTGGTGCACAAACGGTCTAGGTCCCGATGTGATGATTTGCCTCAAACGACATCAAAAGCAAACATTCATCAGAGGAAAGTTATGCTCTCAGTGTGGTGGGATTTTAAAGGTGTCGTGTTTTTTGAGCTCCTACCAAGGAACCAAACAATCAATTCGAATGTGTACTGTCGGCAATTGGACAGTTTGAACGAATCCATCATCCAGAAACGTCCAGAGCTCGTTAACCGTAAAGGAATTGTGTTCCATCACGACAACGCGAGACTACACACAAATTTGGTCACCCGTCAAAAATTATTGAAGCTTGGATGGGATGTGTTGCCACACCCACCATACTCGCCTGACCTTGCGCCGTCAGACTTCCACTTGTTTCGTTCTCTTCAAAACTCCTTGCATGGTATAACGTTCAATTCAAATGAGGCTGTAAATCAGCACTTTGTTCAATTTTTTGCCGATAAAGACAGGTCCTTCTATGAACAAGGAATTATGAAGCTTACTGAAAGATGGCAAAAGGTTATTGAACAAAACGGGCAATATATCATTGATTGATCTTTGTTCTTTATATAAATAAATGACCTTTGAAAAACATAGAAAAAATACGTCATGACTTTTCCGACAACCTAATAAAATAAACAACAGTCTTGAAGATCTTCAAAGATTTGTAAAATTAAGAAAAACATGGGGATCAATACAGGAACCTGAAGATAAAGAATCATTGTAGATTCAGAAGAAGTTGACCAGGAGGACGATGGGTCGTAGCAAGAGCAGGAGTCGTCGATTAAGGCAGATGACGGATGCCGCACAGGATGCAGGAGTCGCCGACGAAGGAAGGCGGCGGAAGTCGCGCAGAATGTAGGAGTCGCTGACGAAGGGAAGCGGCGGAGGCCGCGCAGGATACAGGAGTCGCCGACGAAAGGAGACGGTGGAGGCCACGCAGGAATCACCGATGAAGGAAAGCGGCGGAGGCCGCGCAAGGTGCAGGAGTCGCCGACAAAGGAAGACGGCGGAGGCCGCGTAGGATACAAGAGTCGCCGACAAAGGAAGGCGACGGAGGCCGCGCAGAATACGGGAGTCGCCAACAAAGAAAGGCGGTGGAGGACGCGCAGGATGCAGGAACCAAGGAGAAGTTGTTGATTCGTCTAGCCTTTTCGGTTGTCCAGAGAAAAGTGAAGTAAATGCAGACGTTTACGCATGACGATCGTAAACACGTTGTCATGGCAAATCGTCTACCGTGGTTGCTTGAAAAAAAGAGGTCTGTTCTTTTGCTCTGCACTGCTGCAACAAGTTAGAGTGAGACAAATATATATTTGTTTCACTCTAACTTATGGCACCAGTGCAGCAATACAGAGCAAAAGAACAGACCTAAGAATATCGAACTCGGCCGCTTCAGCCGAGATTTTCGAAGGCGCGGAAATCATTTGAATCTATATCATTTGAATCTATAATATATTTGAATGTTAATTATTGAACCACAAGGATTCCCCATGGTCGCAAGGACCATAAGTCAAAGACTTGTCGTAGAACCGTAAAGGTTTTGCCCGTCGAACTGCAACAGTTCATCCATCGAACTGCAAGAGTCCCAGAAAATAAATACCTTTTATGAATGTTAATGTTTTTAAAAGGATTACCGGGATATTTAATCCCCTTTATATAAATATATCCGGGTATTCGTATCATTTTTTAAACAATTACGTTCATAAAATTCATTAAGATTTTTCAAGATTAATTAAAATTTATTAAAATTCATAAAAATTCTCGTTAAATATGTTTTATTGTTATATAACAATAAAATTAATTTCATAAATTAAAAAAAAAACTTAATGTATTTTACGAATTTTAATAAATCTTAATGAGTTTTTCTAAATTTTAATTAATCTGAAAGAATCTTAATGATGAATTTTAATGAAAAGGAGTGAATTAAAAGAGATTTTCAGTAAATATTTCAATAAAATATTTCCATCAGCGTACCCAAGATTAAAGATCTTTCGTTAATAATATCTCTCGTTAGTGTTCATTGTCTACATAGATGCATCTCATATATAGTGAACATTGTCTACACGAAGATTCAGAATATCAGGATTTACGCGTAAATGATTCTAGTATGTTCGTCGCTTCTAAAAAAATGTATGAACTCAAATGATCGAGAAATATATATTTTATTATAATAATATTACACATAAATGGAATATTATATTGTATTATTATTAACAGCGATTTTTTAACGTATTGCAAAAAATGACGATATTGTACAAAACGTTTTGCTTAATGGCAAAACGTAATATACATTAAATACACATAAACAATTACAGTAAACATCTCATACATAGTCAACATTGTCTACACGTAGATGCAGAATGTCAGGATTTATGCGTAAACGATTCTGGAACAGCACGTGTTCATCGCTTTTATAAAAATATATGAACTCAAATGATCGGGAAATATATATTTCACTGTAATGATATACATAAATAGGATGTCATATTGTACTATTATTAACATTGATTTTTAAACGTATTGCGAATGACGATATTCTACAAGACGTTTTGCTTAGTAGCAAAACGTAACAATACATATAACGTACACTTAAACAATTATAGTAAATATAGTTTGTATTATTAGTCAATTTCACCTAGGTAGATTTGTTTATCGCTTGCTGCAGAGGCCACTGAAAAAAGATACAATTACCATATAAGTATTAATCTATACAAATATGCTTAGGAAGATATAGTTTTCGTTAAAAGGTATGAAAAGAAAGACAAGAAATGATAATTAGAGCTTTAATAAGGATAAGATGTGATAATATGGAAGAAAATAATAAATAATTGAAAATAATAAATAATTGGTTAAATGAAAAGTTTAGAGTATGCACTTTGTGTGAGAAAAGAACAGGTAGCATAAATTACTTTGTGAAGGAATGTGAAATAGCAAGGAATTGGTTTAAAGATGTGGAAAAAAATGAGGAGGAAAGAGTAAATAGGATTGGAGATAAAGAGTTAGATGAGAAAAAAGGGCAATTTGTAAACTATGGATAGAAAAAAACAACACAAAGAAATTAAGGGAAGAAAAATGGAAAAAGAATAAAGAGATGGAAAGAATAATAGCAGAGGAGATATAAAGAAGAAAGCTAGAATTAGGTAGAGTTAAAAGAACTTAGATAAGATTAAATAAAGATGAATGATGATAAGGATGTATGTGTGAGAAGGATATGTGAGTTAAGGTATGAATTGTAAACCAAGCCCCTACTTCTTGGCTGTAAGCTGAAGTATGAATAAAATTAATTGATTGATATAATTCATGTTCTTAGATGAGATATTCGTACATACATGGACATTGTGTCGCATTGACAGTGAAATACTCTCTAGCGTGTAATGTAATGTAATATATTACATTACAATGCTAAAAAAAAGAGATAATACTATCGAAACTTGAAACGTACCAATAGGTTCTTTCGGATGGAAATCGACATCATTCACAGATCCATTGTGTCCTGGCAATTTGTACACGACTCTACGACTCGTGGTGTCCCAGATATAGTGGAATCGATCCGCCGAGCCCGCGGATACCTTGCTGCCGTCTGGTGACCATGCACACCTCAGAAGATTCTGATAAGCAACAATAGTATCATTAATCGTTCCACTATCGACACCATCAGCTCTCATCTTCAGCTGCATAGCTGTATATAAATATTATAAATCGCACGAAATATCCCAAGAAGATACCTTTTCGAAATTGTGCTGGTGTCCAGATAATACTTTCACGCAACGTTCGAAGGGAGCGAACGGCCTTACGTCCCAAATCTTCAGCGTATTGTCCATGGCGTTAGAGAGTAAATACGAGCCGTCTGGACTGAGGCTCAATCCGGTGACGGTGTCGCTGTGTCCCTTCAACTTGTAAAGCACTGCATTTTTCCTGAGGTCCCACACCTTTATATCGTTGTCGATACCACCACTAATGACTTGTTCTGTTGTGTCATTGAATGTCACCGCAGTCACCTAATCATATCGAAGGAACTATATAATGTACTCACATTTTCCACTTTTGTGCAAATTATAGACATAGTAAGGATAGACTGAGCGTAAGGCGTGAAATTCAAAGATCAGATAGAAAAGGACAACAAATGCCGTGTAACTTTCTCTCAGACGATGAAAGAGTCAGTAGGATGTGAGAAAAAGTATAGAGACAGTAGAACGTGATTAAATAAGGTTATGCTCATAATCTGTAGAAGGGAATTAAGGTTCCTGGCATTGTCTATCTCTTTTTAATGACATCAGAAGCGAGAAAATGCATGCTAAAAATTCTTACGAAATATGTTGAAATAAAAAGATATATCTATAAAATGACAACAATTGATAAAAAGATATATCTATAAAATGACACAATCGATTAAATAAATCTGTGAAATATTCTGTGCATTCCTATTTTGCTTTAATAATCAATAATTTGTCATAAATTAATATAATGTATACATTTCATCTTCTTAACCTATTTTTTTGCATTCAGGAGATTCATTTTTTCGAAATTTATAATAAACTGTAATTTAATTGAAAAAGGGGAATACATGGAATACCTTATATATTTGTTTGCAATCGATTGTGTTACTTTGTAGATATATATTTTCATTTCAACATATTTTGCAAGAATTCTTAGCATGCATTTTCTCGCTTCTGACATCACTAGAAAAAAATAGATAATGCCAGGAGCCTTAATATATTAAAATACTATAAAATAATTACAAAACAGAGAGTTAACACACATACATGTCATGTGTTGCTTGTATCTAATGCACGAATAGAAAGAGAAAGCTACACAGCACCTGCTTTCTATTCTTTTCTATCTGATCTTCACTGTCAAACAAAGGTATGCTCAGTATTATTTATTCTTACTATGTCTGTGGTGCAAATAGAAATTGTATCTACCTGATATGTATTATTTAGGGTGCAACATTCATTATGTTTCCTCGGATCCCAGACACGTATTGTGCAGTCGTCACTACCTGAGCAGAGCATCATAGGTCCTCTCCGTGCACCAGATACAGAATTCACAAACAGAATGTGACCCTTCATCTTCTTAACACGTGTCCCAGATACTAAGTCCCACAAACCCAGTGTCATGTCTGTGCTGGCTGTGTAAAGATAATAGCCATCTGGACTGAAGTGCAATTCCATCACAGCTCCATTGTGTCCAGTCATAACACCAATGTTTTCGCATTCCCCATAAACGTTCCAGAGAACTAGAAGGCAATTATTTTATTCGACGGCTCAAGCATGCATTTACACATCAGTATCGAGTCAGTTGTTTGCGTGAAACTTACAGATTTGTCGATCGTGTCCCGTCGACGCGAGGAACTGTCCATCCGGATGGAATTCGAGGGAAAAGATATCTCCTACATGTCCCTCGAGTAACATCACCACCGCAGTTAGGTTGGATGTTCGCGGTGTACCCTTTGATATTTAATCACACATATGTTATGATTTTTGAGAAATATCAGTCTTTGAAGCAAAAAGAAATGTGGAGTTTATACTCACGTTTACACCGCTTTCCAAAATCGCTCTCTCTCTGCTGCTAAATACGACCTCCTGTCTCGTTCTTTTAGAGGCAGGAAGCAACGATAGAATATCGTCTCCCTTCCTTTTATCCAAGACCGGCATTTTGAACGATAATACGGCAATTTCAAGCACAAAACACTCACGAGTCCACTTGTTTGCTCTCGTCTAACAACAATGAGGTCGCTTGCGCGCCGTTTAACTAGAGACCGTCGAGTCAACAGTGTATTCGACTAGACTTGGGGTTTATCGATCCGGGGTCGATTATGACGTCGCAAGCTCTACTAGCCAATCACAAATTCATATAAGAATATTCGACCAATGAACTCGGGTTTAATAACCCAGGATCGATTAACCAATCGAATACTTTATAAGAATCTGATCAATACTCCTATGTTCACTGATTGGTCCCATTATACTGCGACGTAATATAGGAAAACCAATGGTAACATGTGAATTTTCAGGCTATTTAAATGTGAAATCATTGGGCGCATTCAGTAGAAAAAGCGCTCAGTGAGCAATCAACGATTATTGGTTCTTGCTATTAGATCCCTAAATCTAGACCAATTACATTGACAAATTACTCAACTGTTGTGCAACTGTTGAGTCTACTGAATGCAGCCATTGAAATATATACACAGTATTTATATAAATATAAATATATATTAAAAGAATTGTATTTAATAAAATATCTGTAAAAATACAAATATAACAAATTGGAAAATATGAGAAGAATATAATCATGACTTATTGTAGACTCCCTTTGAAATGTTAAATTGTTAAATTGTTATGTACATATTGTTAGATCAATGTTTATAATGTATTTATTTGTATCGCATGCATTAAATATGATATTGTACAAAATTGTAAAATATATTTATACAAACATACGTATATTAATATTTGCTATCTATAATACTCTTTTTCCTAGGTTGGATGGGAAATCTTTCAATGAAAATCTTTTGGCGAATTTGAACAATCTAGTTTGCAATCATAATCGAATTATAGAAGAATAACCGACTATGATTGGTCAATTATTTACGGTTCTGGCATAAGTTAACGGATTACGGCCATCATAAACCGGACTTTATTTTCATTTCCTGATAGCTCACGTTACAGTCTTAGTCCCGAACCACAATAGATGTAAGCTGTAAGTAGCTCTGTAGTAAGCTTTAAGTCTTAAGAAATTGACCAATCACAATAGATTATTCTCCTCAAATTTAACTGTGATTGGTCAATTCCTTAAAGCTTAAGGCATAAATCACCTATTGTGGATTGGGACTTAAGCCCATTCTACAATTGCGTAAGCATAGTCGTGAACGTAAGAGTCAACCAATCCGAATGTTTTATTCACTGATTGCTTTACTCTGATTGGTTGTCGTAATCACTTACAACTACTTACAACCGCGTTCACGCAATTCGCTTCACGAATAGGCTTTACAGCCATATTCTTACAGCTATTGTAGACGAGCCTTTAGAGTGCACCCAGGGGCTTGATTCTTGATGGTGTGCGAATGAGATATACATGCGAAAATCTACAGTATACGTAACGTGAATATATATATTTTCGCATGCGTATCTCAATCGCATACCGTCAAGAATCGAGCCCCAGGTAGAGAATCTGAATGCAGGACTGCCGCCATTTTCTTGCATTCAACCGGAAATCTCATGCGACGCAAGTTCGAAGCCTAAAGGTTGTTCTACATTAAGGTCGTTTACATTAGTTGCAAGTCGATTGCAACCTTGTTGCGACAGCCAATCAGAAGCGTCAAAAACATCATTGATGTTTCTGATTGGCTGTCGCAATAAGAATTGCGTCTGCTTGCGGTCGGCTTGCAACTAATGTAGAACGATTTTTATTGGCTCCTGCCCACAGGACGCGGCAACGTTTGCCGATCGGCAGAAGTTTGTGCAACAGCCAATCAATATTCTGTTTTCCATAATAACTTTTTTGTAGCTCTCACGAAAAAACTTTGTTAGATGGCGTCTCGAAAATGCGTCTAGCCATGGCCTAGTCTGGCCATTGAAATCAAGCTGGTAGCCGCTCTCATGCTTTTCTCTGCTTGAAGCAAAATTTTCTTCATTGGATATCGCCCGTCGCTCACCGCTAATCGCGTTCAGTGTGCGAGAGCCATGACACGGAACGCGACTTGATGGTTTCTAGTTGAACATCAAAGTGGTGACATCTTTTGTGTAATAGTTTAAATTTTCGTAGAGTTACTTGCAGATGTTATCGCTTTTGCGTGACAAGTAGAGTCCCTAAGTAGATTCTAGTGACAAGCGGAGCGCGCACAATTTGCCACCTTGAATTTGCTTCTACTTTTGGAAACGTCGTTGCGTCTCTAAAAACTTCGTTGCCCACACATTGTGGGTAAGTTCCATTTGGCGACCGCGTCAAAGCGAGACATCATTCCGGTTTAACATCCAATACAAAACAAGAATTATGTCGTACGAGAGGTCGAAAAACACCCAAATATTCAAAATAATCAAATTTTCAACACAAACGGTGAATATTCTCGATAATGTATCTTTATCTTTTCCTCGGATAATGTATGTAAAATGATAAATAATATGGGATCATATCACGTATATCTTGTTTACTTCGTTTATTATTTCAATCTTATAAAGCGTCCTACTAAAAAATTTCTGTTGAGATCTAAAATGAGAAAAATTCCTATAAGATCTCAATTAGTTCATGATATTTCAATTAAGATATATGAAATAATTGAGATTTTATATAAAAAGTTATTCGAAAATCTCGTTTTAGATCTCTCGACAGAAATCTTTCATTAGAGCAGTTCTCACCTTTCTCATAGTGCGAAAAAAGAATCGTGATACTTGGCGCGAATGGTTTTAGTCCTTTTTATTGCAATATATTATAGACGTCATTGTATGTACGTTCGATAAATACATCAAGTAAAAGGTCTTATTTGACAAGTTTTTCTCCTCTTTCTTCTCCTCATCGTCAGACTGTTAAAGCGCGTTATGATAACGTACATTATATACGATCATATAATATATATATGTCGCGGAGTGTCATTTTTTTTTTACCGCCAACCATAACACGAATTTCATTATCAATAGATACTCTTATCGCCCTTTCTCCGTCTTTTTCTCTCGCTCTCTTTCTCTCTCTCCCTTTCTCTCACCTAAGGATTAAATATTGTACAAAATGAAAATCGTAAGTCGTGATAGAACTATATATGTGCGTACGCTGGATCGCGATAGTTTGCGCATCCCTTTTGCTCAGTTCTGCGGTTTCTTGTCGGTACTTGTCGGAAAAAAAACGTGATCTTCTTGCCTTCTTTGCTACAACGCATCTTGTGGACGTTCAACGAAATAACGAGAAAACGGAGGAAAGCAATTAGTCGGTTCACGAAAAGACCTGAATCATAATCGCCGTTCATCATTATCCGTCTGTTCTCTCTCTTTCTCCCTCCCCTCTCCCTTCTCCCTCTTTTTATTTCGCACACATCTTCTCGTCTGCTTTCGCGTCTCGCCTCACGCGTTTTGTGCAAAAAGTAAATTCCCGCCTTGGAGAAAGGAGTGAAATTACACGAGTGCAATTACAAAGTCACGCGAACTATCGCAATTGAATGTTGCTGCTCTTTGTGTACCGCATCTCCGGGTGATCGGACAGAGCGCTCCGGGAGCACCATCACCGTGTCTCTTCTAAACCGTTCGGCAAATCTAGAATTTGTTCTTTCGCGGAGAAATGCTACGGGAAGGTGTCGCGCGCTCGTCTCGTCTCGTCGCTTCTACTTGCTCGGTAACTAAGTCGCGAATGAAATTTCCGTTTGAACGCGCTCGCAGTGCGAAAACTAATTCGACTACCTATTTACAGAGTCCCGACGCATATTTACACAAATCTCGGCGCTTCGCGCTCTCGCGACGCTGTAACACACGCTACTCCACACTACGCTCCATTCGCGAGAGACGAACGTGGTGATCCCAGAGCGCTCCGTGCACGCATGAGCAACGCGCAAAATCTACGGATAGCGCGGCGTCCCGACCTTCCGAATTCTCTTCTCGGCGAACGGCGAATGCATCGCGAACCGGGAAACGGCGGGGCTCGTCGCCCTGTCGGTCCCCCGAAACACGAATCGTCCGCACCGACGCTGCACCCACGCACAAACTATTCAATTACAGCAACGTACGCCTCGGGGGAAATACAGCGAAGTACGCACGCACGCACGCATGCACGCACGCACGCACGCACGCTCGCACGCGCGCGCGCGTCGCACCGTACCTCGTCGGAACTTATGGCGAAACGATAAACACACACCGACCCCTGTGTCTCTTAAAAATCCTGTGAAAAATACCAACTCCCTCTCTCGCGCTCACACTTTTGTCATACAATATTACATCGTATCCTTATACTTAGATAATATTAAATAAGTTTGCAATTATCTCCTGCCTCTCTTTTCCCCTCTCTTTTCGGTGTAGGTGGTTTCGTGTGTTGGTGTATGTGTGCGTGTGTGTGTGTGTGTATGTGTGTTGTGCACGCGCGCGCGCATGCCTGCGTTAGTATTTACATACATACTCGGGATATCTCACACGGGGGAGAGGGAGCGATTCGACCATGTGCCTCGAAGGGGCTGACTATTAGCGAACGAGAAGAGGTGAGCGCTACCTCGAGGGAATCGCGCGGCTATCGATTGTACATTGAAAACGACTGAAATCATTGAAGTACGAATCATCGAACTCAGTTTCTCGCGGAAGACCGCGAGGCATTTTTCAGCAACAACAACAACAACAACGTTTTCTACTGCCTATCGTCGAGCGCCTTCGTTACGCACGCGATCGCATCGCTTCACGTGAGATACGCGCACACACATAGCCATATCGAGATGTTCGAAACTATCGCAACTCCTACGACGCGTTGAATCCTCTGGCCGGATCGGAGTCGATCAGGCTGATTAACGACAATTAGACAAGAACATCACTTCGCTTTCCGCGCATAAGCTTCTTCATAAATTAACCCTCGTATTTAATTCTAGAGTATAACATTATATAAAGCACGGCGCTGTAATCGTACCGAGCTAATTACGGTTAAGAGAAATATTAAAAACAGCTATTGTCTTTTTCGGTTCAGTTCTCAGCTTCACTATCTACATAAAAGAGGTAGCGATAGTTTTTCTTTCTCTCTTCCTCTCTCCTCCCTTTTCTCCCTTTCGTTTTCATACGTTCTGTATATATTGCATACGTTTCGGAGACAACGTCTTGTTGAGTGATTCGTCGAAGGCTGACGTGGACAACAGCCGAAATGACGTCCGCGACGAGACGGCGAATTTATTCGTTTATCTAAAACGAAATCTTTCACGCTGATCCCTCTTTACGTCGATCGAAAATAAGTTAGATGGACAATTAAAAGCGGCGACTCGGATGTGTATACACACACGATACGTGTCCAATATATACAGTGCACGTTCAAACACACATGTGTATTATTTTCTTTCTTTCTCGCTCGCTCGCTCGCTCGTCCTCTCACTCAAAATCGCACGTATCATACCGAGTGATGCACGCGTGCGCGCTCGCGCGTTTATAGGTGTGAGGATGTACGTTACAATACGTTATAGTCGATTTTTATTATTAATAATATACAAATAATGGAAGACATGGCAGCACCTAAAAGTGCCGGTCGAAAGATTCTTTTATCTAACACGTTTATAGATTTTATTTTATTCTTATTTTTTTTCCTTCTGATTTTCTTTCTCTCTCTCTTTTTTTTACTTGGCGTTTATTTTTTTTCGCATCACCCGCGCGACGTTACGCGTCTTTAGCGTATATCCGTCCATGCGACATGCTGGGCCTCGCAAGTGTCTTTCCTTCGTCGTCACATAAATGGACATTTCTCGACAATGCTCCTCGATCGAGGCAGCTCGCGACGAAGAAGCAAGCTGATGTCACACGAAAACAATTTACACGAAGTAAATCGACGAAAAAAGATACTGAAATTTTATCTCGTGAATATGGAATGCACCGCGGACTGTCTCGACGCGGACGCGCAAACATCCAGGTGTGACTGTTTCGGGGAGAATTGTCCATTCGCGACGCGTCAGCAGGTCGCACGAGTGAGTTTGTGCCATTGGAGCGGCAATTAGATCTCATTGACGCGCCGTTAAAGGGGTCTCTTTCTCTTTTTCTCTCTCTCTCTCTCTTTCTCTTATCTTTTTCCCTAAACAATCTCTCCCGTAGAATCTCGCCACGAAACCGGCGCTCGTGTAACTTCGCGCCCAAGCCTCGCGACGTTTCGCGGCGCGTCGCGATACGCGCACGCAACGTTCTCTTTACAAACGTAACATCACCTACTTAAATCGAACGAATATCCAACTAGCTCAACAAACGTAGTTTCTTTAGTCCCGTCGCATTTGCCTCATAATCCGTGATCACGACCGGGATGACATTTCGACGACGATGGCTATCGGATCGTTATTCCTTTCGCTCGTGTTCCCCCGCGAATGCGACTCCACGTCTCGTCCTGGCTTCGTGTCGACGGGGAGACACTACTTTGTGCGCGATTAGCGTCGGCATTAAATTCGCGAAGAAATTAAGCGCGAAAGAAAGTATGTATTAACTTGAGATACAAGGATGAATTGCGGAAGAGAGCACAGACATCATCGCAAACAATATACGCACATTAAGCTAAGTTAAACTTATCTGACGTGAAACTAACGCAAAGCTGAACCGGATGCAAAGACAGGGCCGGAAAATATCCACAGAAAAATGTGAGCAATAAAATTTAAGTAGTAAGAGAATTGACCGAGAATCGACCTTGCGGTCGAAAAATAATCGATGATGCGATTGGTTAATTTTCTTACTGCTTAACGTCTCACTGTTAACTCTCTTGAAGTGAATCAGTGAATGGTCACTGATCAGTGTATCACTGATATCATATATAAGTACAGCACTGAGCAGTTTCAGTGCTATACTTATAAGTGCAAATCAGTTTATATTCACTGGTTTGATGATGTTTCACTGATTCGTTTTAAGAGAGTAAATTCCTCTGTGTGTTCCGGGTCTTAAACTCAAGTGGACTAAAGTCGCGGCATCGATTATCCGTCATCACTCGCGTGTCTCACCCCGGGCGACGACGGCGAGTCCCGTTTGCGGGTGAAACGCTTCTCGACGGCGGTCGTCGCAATCCGCTCTCTTAGCGTAAACGCATAGCCCATAGCCCCATCGCGTTCAACGCAATGCAAAGTACAGAATAATTCGCGACTGCAGCGCGAAGGATCAAAGGTGGATTCGCTATTTGAACTCGGGAGCGCGGAATTCTCGCGCGGAGGAATGTCGGGGCGATGTTATTGCCTTAACGTTCAACTTTACATTCCTCAACGCTGAGCGTTCCGACGGCTGAGAGCTCCGAGAAGGGATCTCCTCTCATCGCCGCTTCGAGAACCCGGCGAGCCGGCTACGTCGATTTCTCATTCTGCATTCCTCCGCGCGAGAATCACCGGTTCGCTCACTTTAAACGAGGAAAGGCGACCCGTCGCGAGGCGCCTCGCGCATCCGACGGTCGCGAATTATTCCGCGACCCGAGAGTCGGCCGCCTCTCTCCCGATCATCACAGCTTTCCTAAGGAAAATTCTTAAGGTCACTTGGACCGATATCTTTGATTGGGAAAACACGTTAGATACGGGATCGATTCACAACCGATCCCGATATGAGCAGGATCTCTATCCTTTGTTCCGTATCTCATATCATATAATCGTAACTATATAATACAATATAGAAAAAAGACAATATAGCGCAACCACCATAGCTACAGGAGCGTGTCGCGCGCGTCGTCGCGTGTCCCGTCGCGATCGATACCGACGATTATGCGGTAGGATGGGGCGGAGGGGCGGCGGTGATTAACCTAATCGGCTAATCGTGATTTGCGCGCGCGCGCAAAGCACGCCCTTCTCACATTCGCATCGATCGGTCCGTCTCGCGATCGTAATTACCCTCCGAGACGTTCTTCGCGGGAAACGCGAAGAACTCGATGGTTCTCTCTCTTTCTTTCTTTCTATCTCTTTCTTTCTCTCTCTCTCATACGCTCGCACGCGTTTTTTTAATTCGAACGACAGTGAAATATCAATTGTAATGAAATGCAAGACGCGTTTTGCTCTATTCCGTAAATGCGCGAAATACATCTCCCAGGTACGTCCCAGAAATATATCCAGACATCTCTGGAACGTCTCTGGAATGTATTCGCAGACATTTGAACCGTACGGGATTCTCGTTTTCTCTTCGTGCTGTGATCCGTGATCGCAAGTGCATCGAGCTACAATGTTTCATTCTTTTCGGGTGTCGCATCTTATTCTCGCTGAAAAGGAAACGTCGTCGTTGCTCGTTACAGCGCGCGTTTCTCTCTTCACCTCGAACGAGAGACGACGTACATTATTAGATTACGACTCTTGTTGTTCCTTATCAATTATTTCGTTGCTCCAAGCGTCGCGTTTTCTATTCTCCCGTGATTTCGGTTTCTCGATCGATCGTACACAGTTTTATGCGATTCTGCGGAGAGTACCGATATATGCATGGAGACAAGTGGCAAAAATTTACAAGATGCATTTTTCTATCTCTCCCTCTTTCTCTCACTCACACGTACGCGCACACACACACACACACACACACACACACATACACGCGCACGTAACGTAGTATTACCTGCGGAAGAAGCAAGGGCGCCATAACGTTACTCTTAACATTAGGTCGTAAAAATGAGGCTAACTCGAGTCGCGCCTTACTTTACGAAACGAATTTACGCGTTTTCTGCTTTTATCGTACAATTTCTTTTATATTGTTTCCTTCTTGCTTTTGGAGCAACGTAATTCCCGTATATACGTGTGCGTTTGTGACACGGATGGAAAATTTCTACGGCGCATCGATCCTCGGTGTTTCTCTCCGCGGGAGCCATGCTGAGACAGAACTTGGTGAACACCGTCTCCGTCGAGAATTTGATTTGAATGTTTTCGGGCTGATTTCTCTAACATCTCAGTGAGCTAACTGAGAGTTTGCTCATACTTCTGTCTTTGTTTCTCCTTCAAATTAGAAATAGAAAAAGATAGACATATGAGTTAACCGTCAGCTAGCTCATGAAGAGCTTGGAACAATCGGCTTAGATCTGTATTAATAGTTATCTGTATTACTTGAAATTTGCCTCAAGTGAGACACTCAAATTTGTGAATTCAGAGTCAGAGGAGAAAGTTTTTCTGTCACATAATTATAATTCAACCGCAAAACTTGAATCTAACTCTGAGTAAAAGTCTGAGTATCTCATGCGAGACAAGTTTCAAGTGACAGCTGTCAATACGGGCCTTATCACGTTAAAACAGGCGCGATCGTGTCGGGACCCGGAGAAAAAAGGCCGGAGGAACCGCGTGACGCGACGTTTTCCCCTCTCTCCGCGACGTGGTGACTCCGAAAGGTCCGCGCGATGCGCCCCAGCTCTTTGAAATTTTGCAACCTTCCTCCGGAAGAACGGACCCGGCTTTCGACAATCGTCGCGGACGGAGATCGCGCAAAGCGGTCCTGACTGACGGAAAAATAGAGAATCTCTCTCTTCCCGACTGTACGATTATAATTAATGCAGCCGAGCGACGCGTCATTCGACACAGCGACATCGAACGATACAACGTCGTGTGGCGTGCTGCTAGGCCGAGATTTATTCGTCGCGTCTGGCGGAATCCGAGTCACAATCGGTCGTTCTGGCGAGAGAGCGCAACTGATCGCGCGTAAAAACTCATCGATCGTAATGATAGAATTATAGTCGAGCTTGGTGTTATTATACATAACAACACGCGGATGGTGATCCTGGCGGAGTGTACCGTTACACACATGCCGTTTCCTTCATAGGCGTTTCTTTGACCGTTTCGCCGAAAATGGACAGAATGACAGCCGCCAATTTCCTTGCGCGCCGATTCGTCCCTTGCATAAACCGTTCGGCGAGCAATCGCGGTCAACTTACAGCGGTGTGATTCTCTTATTGCTCTGCTATTTTGATTATTTCTTCACATTTGAGCTACTCATATTCGATCTATATTTTTAAACGTGGTAATTTCCAGTATCAGTCTACGCGTAGTACCTACGGAACGATAAAAACATTCAATCCGAATACGACAGGACCGGAAAAAGGGGAAGACTCTTTAATGAATTCCGTCTACCGGAGAGACGACAATCTCGCAAGGAATGGGGGTGGGGAAGGAGGGGATGCCGCGCGTGATCCGCATTTACACTAGAGTCTTTGCTGATCGACAATCAGAACGCGCGTTTTGCTCTACATCTTTGCGTCAGTTAAACGATCTTTCTGTTTCCACATAAACTGTACGTACACTTGCCCGAAATTCTTGCCGAGAGAGAAACAATACGAGAGAGCAAGACGAGAATAGCTGCTTCTTAGCTGCTTCGTATGTTCGACGGAGTAGCGACTCTAGTGGCAGTGCGAATCTTTTTCCGCGGCATTGAACAGCGTTCGCAAATGCGCTCACGAGTGCTTGGAGTGACGAGCGCGTACCGCGACATTCCTTCATCACACTTCGAAATTGCCGGCCTTTGTCAGGCGATCGCGTTCAATCGCGTTCAGATTCGGAATTCGTGACGTGATTTAGGCCTGCCCGCTCGTCGGCAGGCACGTGAACATCGACCCGTCGCTGCGAAGCGACGAGAGTGCAAGGAATGAACAAACGAATAAAATTAAGAAGCGTGACGAAGAATTCTCCACCGGGCGCGCTCTTTTTCGCATTCCTTTGTACATGTGCTTATTGGACGCTCGGAGCATCAAAAAGAACTCAAGTGTGCAATAAATATTGTTTCGTTCGAAACAATCCGTCCCCTCTACGGATACGCCCGACGAAGAGGGTAGAGAAGTCTGCTGGGGAAGTCGAGGAAATATATTCGGGAGAATCGCGTGGTAATGAAATTACCCTTCTCGATCGACTTCGGGGACGAAGTCTGACGTGGGGAAGCGCGACTGGGTCGTCGTCGTCGACCGTCCGTCGATTGCCTCGCGCATCGTTGCGACCGCTACACGTGTATCGTATCTATCGACCGACTCTGTCACGCAAATCTCTATTAATCTCCCGTTCTCTCTCTCTCTCTCTCTCACGATCGTCGTTATTACACTTCGTGTTATATGGGGCACTTATTGCTTTGTCCAGTATCGAGGATAAATTTCGACGCACGTGCGAGACCGCACACACATAAATATTCAGGACTCTCGCGTAACAGAATTTATAATCGGATATGTAACATACGTAACATATATATAGAGAGATATGTGTATATATATATATGTGTGTATGTATATATATATATATTTTATCATCCTCACGTAGTATAATGTAATTCGCGAACCTAACACACTGGTCACTCTTTCTTTCTCTCTTTCTCTCTTTCTCTCTCTCTCTCTCTCTCTCTCCCTCTCTTTCACTCGTTCCCTATTACTTCCTGCTCCTCTTTCTCCTCTTTATGTAACTGTTTCATAGAAACGACAACGCTAAATCCATTTTAAAAAGGTAATTTGTAAACGTGTGTGCAATTAATCCTGACAGAGTCACGCAAGCCGCACTGTAACGATGGTTAAGAGAACCATAAGACTCAACGACGAGAAATTAAAGAGGCGGCACGCGCCGCCGCAGAATTTGATCTCCAACTCTTCAGGGTGGTAGTTTATGCATTTCGGTGGTCTTCGCCGGTACAAACGTTCTCTCCTTGCTGTACATGCGCCGGGCTCCGTGAGAGCCTCGATGGGGTCGATACTGAGTTGCTTGCTGCCGCACGGACACAGCGTGTCGACGACCAGCAGTATCAGATTCGTGTGACGGATCTTTTGGACGCTGAAGGGTCTGCGGAACAAGTACTCGTTAACAAATCGTTCCTTATGTACGGAAATAGACGTGAGAAACAAATATATCGTATCAAACCAATGTTCCCCAAAGTCTGTTCACGTTACCGTTCCTTAAAAAAATTGTAGCCTAGAGGCGACGTTTTTCATTTCAGTATCGAATTGAAACTCTGGGATACTGAGTTATAATCCATTGAATATCTTCAGGAGTAACGAGTGACATGCTTTTGGAATCGATTTCATTAAATTTAATTTAATCACAAATAGATAGAAAATTTAATTTCATTAAATTCAAATCAATCAGTGAAATTTAATTCTATATATCTGTTTGAGGAAAACAACGACCAAGATCACATCGAAAATTCGATGATTTACACGAAACTATCGCAAATTACCTCTCGCATCCGGTTACATGACAATTGGTGAGTTTTCCTTTTAGAGGATTGCTCTGGCCGCTAGTGTTGAGTCTTTCGGGTTGCAAAATGTAGAGATCCGTTTTCTTCTCGCATGTGCGCAGCTTCTGCGATGAATAATGCGCGGACGTGGCCCGAGTTGTCGGCGGCGAGGCAGGCGTCGCCGGCGCGATCGCCGGGAACCTCACGAACACGTTGTTCTCATCCGCCGTCGCTTCATCCGTCGAGTCGATGGACGTCTGTAGCTCACCATCGCGCAAGTCTCCATCGTCGTTGAATACCAGATCATCTGCGAGAGAAATCGAATTTTACATTGTTGTCTCAATAAAATTGAATGACTGCTCCTCCTTTCAGCTCTCTGTCACAACTTTGAGAACCTTGAGCGAGAATATTGGAGCTAGTGTGTATCTGACTTTCATTCGTACGATTTGTTATCTTGTGTGTGACGTGAGAACAAATGTATCTTCTCTTCAGGATAAATGCGTCTTGGACAAATGTATCTTTAAAATGTATATTCACCGTCCAACGAGTGTATCGCGTCGTTAGCAAACGCCGACACCGTCTGCCATAGATTTTGAAAATTAAAGCTCAAGGCCAAGGTCCAAAGGAATCTGCCGAATTTCGCTGCTGTCTTGATGACAGAATAGGACGATGTTTGTGGCGCCGATGACTGGTGAGACTCTTGGGGGCTGCAAGTTCCTTGATAATCGATGACGGTTACTTTCCTGAAAGTTCACCAGGACATTTACGCCTGCTTCAAGGTATTCTGACAATCACGTACACGTAAGTCTTCAATCATCTTACCTGTATATTCTATCTTGCACCAAGGAGTCCATTATAGTCCCGTCTATTTCACCGAAGAACTTGCCGGTGTGCTCGTGACGCTCGCTTATAATGATAAATCCATTGTTATCCAGAATGTAACAGTCCAGCTCCTCCGACGCGCAGTTCTTCTTGCAGCCCGTCATACCAGTACACTATAAAACGAATGTACGACGTGACGATGCATACGTAGCTAATTCGTTGCTTGATAATGGCACACGAGAGAAAGAGAATTTCGGTCCGCATCGACTTACCGTAGAAGTGATATTGACGAAGTGAGTCGCTAAGGACGAGTGTTGAAACTGCAGGCCTACAACCGCTGCCGGAGCTTTGTGGCTTTTGCTGAAGAACACTGCGTGAGTGGCGGTGACGAGCGGATCGGCCGTGTCAGCTGAATACAGTAAGCATAATTCTCACAATACACGCACAATGTATCATACGAAGCTTACGTGCAAGTAAAATCTGCCAGTTATACAATTATTGCAGTGTAATCTATCTTATAATATGTAAGTTTAAATATTCTATGTCGGGGTCAGAATGTTTTAATTACAACCATATTGTAATTTAAATTAAATACTACAGATTTTCGCGCACGGAAAAAATAGTTTAGTTGTAACAGTTTAGTGACACACATAAATCCGATTGTGCCAACCAGACTCAACAGTGAAATACGGAGCAACTGATTATGTAGCTGCCGCTGCAACCACAAAGCAATTGCTGAGCTACAGTCACGATATCTGGTTGTTCCAATCAGAGTGTGTGGTAAATGCCACTCCAACCGATTTCTAGTTGCCACAACCAGATCACGTGCAACCACATTGATGTGGTTGATGAACCAAAGTAGCTGAGTCACATCAACCATACGCATTATCATCGCACAAAGATAACTAGGATGATGCGACTATGCTGCTCACGAATGTTTCTGGTTATGCGCACTATATCTTTATTTTTTCATGCAGAGAAAGAATACAATTTTAATTTTGATTTTGTTTTTAAGGAAATGCACGCTGAAGCACGATCACTCACCTGCGTCGAACGGCACGCTGAAGACGAAGCTCTCCGGTTCTATAGAATGTTGATCCACTGCGCGCTTGTACCACGACGAGTCCATGGCTCTTGCGTGCTTTTCCGCGAACCGCCTGCGTGCAAATCGTTAGAATGCCGATCGTGCTTAATTATATCAAGATTTCGTTGATTCACTATGCAAGTCGTGCATCATCTTCCATTCTGTGACTGTCGAGAACCGGGCATTGACCGGGATCTTTCTTTTCTTTTATTTTTTTCTTTTTTAACACGGTTCTCTCGGGCGAACTATGCGATTTCTAGCTTTTTCGATATCTAGCTTTTAAAAGAAGCACTTTGCCTAGAGATGTAAATGAGCTCACGGTTCGTCGGTGCTATCGTCGCTCTGCAGGTGCTCGTGCCAACGCAGAAGTCCGCTCCTGGTCGCGATGAAGCTCCTGGTGACGCCGAATCTACCCTTGCCCTGACTGCAATTGCAAAATCGACCATGTAAAGTGTATTCTCGGCGTGGTATCAAGAGACACGTCATCGGTACGCAATTATTTGCATATCCAAAAACCGAATTGCAACTCAAACTAATCGCTTGCGTGGTTTTCGTGGGATCGCAGTGTCCGATCGACACAGCTGGCAGCTTAAACGGCTGTTAAACGGGGAAACGAAGATACGTAGATGAATAACGGGATAATGGAAGGCACGAGGTCGCCGATATATCGGATACGTTTGCCGTACGACCTACGTAAAATTAGCACTATCGCGTTCGACGGTATGCCCGACGACTCGCATCTACTCGGGAGGTCCACGACGCTATTTATGCAGAGGTATACAACGATATAGTTTACAATTACCGCTTTGAATATCATCGCGTTAATAATCGTAACGTTAACGGCACTATATAGAGCGCCTTATACATGACGATGGAATCGAAAAGAAGATGATCTGCCTTGATGAAAATGCCAGCGAGAGTTTCACAAGTTTTTTATATAAAGAATAAGCGGATTCAATCTCCGAAAAGTAAATTTATTTTTTTCATTAAGACCCGTATCAATAGTTGTCGTTTGAAACTCGTCTCAAATTTTCATTCAGAGTTAGATCCAAGTTTTTAGCTGAATTATGATATATGTAACATTTATATCTGTAATCGCGGTTCACAACTAAAAAACTGCTCTAAATTAAAATATGAGTATATCATTTGAGATAAGTTTCAAGTAATGACTATTAATACAGACCTAAATTGTCTCTTACCGGGAAGTAATGACTATCATGTAACAAATATGATCATTACGACCTCTTTGCTAACTTTGCACTTCGGGCTAATCGCGTAAAGAATAGGCAGATTAAAAAGAAACGATGAGTAGCCACTGTGCGAGAGATTGGGCTTTCCGGAGAGTTTTCCAACGATTCTCTTCAATTCGCCTATTTTTACAGCGAGACCTTTCCGAAAATGAAGCGGCTATAGTCGACGGCTGCCAAGCGTTTCGTTTTAGCCCGTGTACCGACTATAGTCGTGTACAAATCGAAGATTGTCCGTCGTAATTTTCCTCCGATTCGAATCATCCGACAATTTTATGCACGATTCTGCATTTTGAATTTAGCTAACACTTTGGACGCTATTAAGATCTTGTTTTACTTCCTCTGTATCGATAACTCCTTTTCTCTTCTCGGAAGAATCACAATCTTCTCGATTGCACCATCAATTTTAGCACAGTCTATATAGACACATGTGCAGAAACGATCTTGAAAAAAGAAACGTAAAGCTTGATACGCTTTTTCCGTGCTACAACACGCGAATACATACACACCTGTATGATAATCATGAGTTTCAGACAACGACGTTTCAGACGAAAACAATTATCGAAAGCAACCGCGATTACACGTTCTTATTATCCATCGGGAGTATATTTATATATATATATATAAATATATATATATATATATATATATATATATATTATATATATATATATATGTATGTACACATGGCGTGTTAGACATAGTCCGGAACAGAATTCAATCATTACAAAGTATGAGTATTACCGTGCATTATCATTGACAAACGTGTTAACGTGTTAGAGACAAATAATTGTGCATAATGGATTACCTGTGCAGTAGAGCCATCAGTATGGCAATAGGGCTAGCGGTGGAGACACACAATAATAAAATGTAATAAAAATATGCAATAAAAGATAATATTGTAAATGAAATGTTGAACGTTGCGCATAATTCATTTCGCATATTATGCAGAGAGTAATGAGTTGTACGCGCCGACTCTTTGATAACATACGTTAGTTGTGAAAATCGCGCGTCCCAAAACGGCGAATCATGCGTGCGATTTATCTTGTCGCCATTGGGGGAATCTTTTAGTATCGTGTGTATACGTGACTTTCCCCATATACACACGTGCGCACGCACACACACACAGGCCCCTCGCCGAGTTCTGCACGTAACTCCGAACCGTCGGTTCGGCGATCGTCAGAAATTCGATTCCGGGGGCCCCATTGACTGCTCTAGAACAATCGCATCTTTCGCTCGTCTTTAACAGAGATTGCTTTTATTTCTTCTCTTTTTTTTTCTATTACCTTGCAAAACGACTATGCAAAACAAGACCACGGGCAGTTGATATCAAGGCAGAGTGGCAGTTCAATAATTTTCAAAGTGACCGGCATTCACTCTCGTGGTGCGTGGTTAAACCGCGTGCTTGTGCATTGCAGTGCTCGATCGATTTGCAATAAGTGTGTGTGGGTGAGTGAGTGAAGACAGGCGTGCACTTGCCGCGTACTACCGACGCGCAACTTACTTTTGATTTTCCTCTTTGTGCATCGTATTGCCGATCCTCTTATCAAATCCGTCCGTCACCTCGGCGTCCAACACCAAGGACTGCACTAATTTTTTATCGCCTGAAACATGACAATTATTATATTAATTCCAACGTTCTATCCATATCAGTCATTATGTGTTACTCGTGAAAGACTTGAGATTGTCTAATTTATGCAGAAATAAATACAATTCAATTACACTGTTCAATTAGCATCAGAAATGGTTATACGCGCTCGCTCCTCAAGAGTCTTTCGTTTAAAAATAATTATCGAGAGTAATAATGTGCTCTCATTATACAAATAATTACTAACTTAAACGACTAGAATAAGTACTTATAATTAAAACAAGTACTCACAATAATAAGCATCTTTATCTGACTTGCTCGCCTGTTTGTGGTGCGAGCTAGGACTCCTTGGTCTCAAGGACATCCACTTCCACCCCGGTCTACGCATCCGTGTCAAAAAATGCAGGATGCGTTCCTCCGGGGAGGAAAAGAACTTATCGGAAGCCGAATTGTACTCGCAGTAGACCCAATCAGGGTGCACTTTCCAATTGTTCCCTTTGAAAAACTCCGTTACTGCAACAAAGCATCGAAAGAGCAGGGTTGATTTTGCCTGTTCTCAAATCACGATAATACATAATGACACGAATGATAGGCGCAATTTACCGTTTATGATAGCGTGCTTGATTTCCTTTTCGGCTCGCAGTTCAAACATGCCATAGCCTTCTGGCAAAGCCAGGCCCAAGGAGAACGGCGTGCTGTCAATCGGCTTGTAAAAGTAATTGTGCCGTCTGATCGTGACTCTTTTCTGCAAATTAACAAATATGTCAGATGACAAAAACTTGCAAAATATACTCTTTGCAAAATATAATGAAAACTTGCTTTACTTGCGCAATAATTTTCCGATATCTTACCATATCATCATAATGCATTTTGATTGCAAAGTCCGTTTCTCCTTCCTTTTGATCGATCATGTCGTGCCTCAACTGAGGAGAATAATATCATTGAAATGTTATTTCATATTTTACAACACGGGTAACACACACCGTGACGTCGAACTTACATCGAGCAGGATTGAATTGTTCAGCGGGTGGGAAGGCCCGTCATATTCTGCGAGCTCGACTTCCGATAGATCTACACTTATATACGAAGGCTTTAGTGTCTCCTCGTACTGCAAAATATACACATTTCTTAAATAAATTATCGCGGATACATGTCTTATTTCTCGATTAATTCTCTTAAAGCAAAAAAGAACCAGATTGAGAGCTCAATCAGAAGAATCGCCTACGAATTAGTCAAAATACACACTGTGAGTGAAATTTAATAATTTTCAACATTTTGCATATCCGACACATGTTTACCTCTATATTTCCAGGCTGCGTGAAACATTTATGTAATTACTATGATGTCATGCTCTTATTCGTTCTTCAAACAAAAAAAATTTATATAAATTTATGTCAATTTATATCAATTTACATCAATTTACTTTTCGTGAGATCTACACAGAAATGTGTCTGTGAAGTATCGATTACTTACGAGAGGCCGCAAGTCAGGATGATACAGAACTCTGCCATTATTGTCAACAATAAACGAATATCCATTAACTCCTAACTGCAATTGAAACGACGTATATCAAGGAATTATTAGCTAATACGGCAAAGGGGAAAAAGTAGCTTGTTGTTAGATCGGTTGCACCATCACGCGAAAACTTTAATCGATGAAATTTTCTAATCAATCATTTGCAATTTCAGAGGAAGAACAGCGAGTGTGACCAAGCCAGGCTCATTCAGTTCGTGTCACCGGTGCAACCGAGCAACTAAAATAACGAAAATAAAAGCAGCGTTGTTCAATACCTTGTAAGGCGGCACGAGTTTCTGAATCTCCTCAACAGGTACGTCAGTACCAACGATACCCAATAAATTGGCCGTTTTCTCCTTCAGAACGACAAAACAGTGAAGTACAATTTATTTGTGTATTACTTCACATTTATAATATCGAGATCGCGTTAGTCTAATCAAGAGAGCGAACTCTGACATTTACTGTTCCCGAAATAATTACCGTGTAATTCCGGCGATCTAAAATTGGGGCTGTCACAGACGTCATTAGTTGCCCGCGATTTTCTCGGCCGTATCTACTGCTCTGAAATTTAAAATCGTTACCGATGCAGATAGCCGGATATTCATGCACACGCGATGTCGGAACGCAATCGACATCTCCACGATACGCGACATTCCATGGAATCAATTAACGCAAATGATAAGCTAAATTAAATTTATATAAATAAGCGATCAATGCCTGCCGACAGAATCGTTTACCTTTCCGCCCACGTAAGCGGGACTCCAGTGAATCGGATGGTCATGCTGATAGAGCACCATAGGCCGCGCCAGAACTTTCACGTACTCGAAGACTTTGTTATGAATGTCCTCCATGTCCGTTATCCTCGCGTAAAATCCTATGGTGATCGATTGTTTGATGTGAAAGACGATTCTGACGATATCTTCGATTGTGTACGCGATTAATTCAATTGTCTAGTTGGAAGTGCAGAGACGCACCTCTATTTAGACGCACCTTAAGTTCCAATTCAGTCGTGTAAAAAATTGCAAGCCACCCTTGTAAGTGGCGTTACCTTTGTTGTTGCAGGCGGTATTCCGGAGCTCCGGGCTCTTGTCACCGCCGATGAGGTACGTGAAGATCCGTACGGGCATGTGAGGCCAATTGTAGCGTTTTATCACCTCCGTAGGTGCGCCGTCGTTGTCAGACGAGATTAGCACGATGGCTTGATTGCATTGACTGCCTTGACCGGTTCGGTTGTATTTGTGTAGGATCTCGAAGGCGGTGCTGAGCGCAGCGGAGATGTTGGTCGCGAACTCCTCGTGCTTCACGGAACCCAACGCCACCTTCATCTCTTGGACGTTCTCCGGCGACGCCTGCACCAGACTGTCTTTGAAGCACTGCACGATCTCCTCGGCATTCTCGCCATATCGGTACACGTTCACGTAGTCGTCCGGCCCGAGGGTGTCCAGGATAACTCTGGTCGTGGCGATCGTTAACCGTCGATTCCTGTCGGACGTGTAGGTCGCGCTGTCTATCAGTATCGCTAGATCCTTCGGACTGTTCGCCGCGCCGACGAACCAATTCGACATCCTGAAGTCGTACACATCGCGAACGGCCCGATGCGAGCCGGAGGACTTTGACGTTTTGAACGCACCCTCCATCGGCGGCCACGATATCGCTATGATCACAAGATCAATTCCATGTTTCTTTCCTTTCATATTTGCATACGCAATTCTACATCATTAGGATCTCCACGATCGCGCAAACACTTCTGTATGCTCTCTAATGATTTACCCGTGAAATAAGTGAAAACCACCGCGAGAAGAAGGCTCCATATCGCGACACACGCGGTGATGAACATACCTGGAAAACGACGCAGGAATCCCGTGGTCGCTCCGTAATATTGCCACGACAGCGTGGGATCGCTCTCGTAATTATTAACAAACAAGAGATCTAGATACTCGCTCCACTGAATACCCGAGGCGACGTCACGTTCTGAAAGCAAAGCGTCGGTTCAGTTCGCGCCGGATAAGGACAATCAAGTCGCGGTCGATAGATATATCGCGAATCGTCCGGGGACTATTATATTCGCACCGTTGTCTTTAACTCCGCTCGGCAGGAGCACGGCGGACAAGCTAACGTTCACCGCCAAATGGTCGAAGTGACGATTCGCGGCGAGGAACATCTCCTGCGCGCCGGCGAAACCCTTCTCGTCGCTGACGAAGCTGTTAAGCCGATGCGAGGCATAATATTTGGGCGACACGTTTCCTTCTCTTGGCGCCGACACCGCGGCTTGCTCGGCGCTCTCCACTAATCTCTACGAACGTAAATCATATTATGTCTTGCGCATTCGCGCACACCTCCACTTGGCGTTAAGCATACAGTCGTCTGATTCGTTTAACACACCGACGCGTTAGATTGTAAGAGTGCGTGCGCGAAAATGAAGTTATCGCCTCGCCTGTCCGTGGTGGTTTCGATATGCATTCTCGATTAAACAAGATGATGATGGATGTACACACACAACGCGTCGATTACGTTCTAATCTAGAGACTGTCTCGGGATCAACGGTCAATGGTAACTTCGTTATCAAAAATGTTAATTAAAAAAGATCATTTAAAATACTACCGTCAGATATCTTGAACTAAACTTAGCGAATCGATATTGCGTTAAAATCGTTTTAGTTCGTTCGCGTTACAACGAAGCTCGATTTGCTACGAGCGTATCATTCTCGATGGCTTGTCGAGTAACTCCGCAAATTTTCGCGGGGAGATAATCCGGCGCTTATTTTTGCCGATTTTGCGATAATCTCTGTCGTACGTAGTCGTTCGGTACACGACAGAGAAGAGCGCGCGATCCTAATTTACTAAATAATATAAAATTGAAACGTCGCCGCGGGAAAAAGCGCGAAAGAGATATGAATGATGTTGGCGTACCATCACGGCGTTCATTTTAAAGTCCATCATGTTTTTCACCTCCGCAGCCATTTCCCGAACGAGGACAAGACCGTCCTTTTTTGCGATGTTGGCCTCCTCCTCGTGGTATTTCTAAGCGGTAAGCAGTAAAAATCGGTGGGTAAACGAGGTTATCTACTAAAGATTCCGCTTAACGAGAAGATTGTGCGATGGAGTTATTAGACACACACACACACACACACACACAAACACGCACGCACGCACGCACGCACGCACACACAGCACACACATACATGTATACATATATGTATTTAAAGTATATTATCTTACTCTTTGTATCTCGCCCATTTTAGTTACTTGTTTACCGAACTCCCATAGATCCACGCCAAACTTTAAGGCCCAGTTTTTTACTCTGCAATAATTAATGATGGCGTTATTATTTCAGGAAAGCGAGAGACGAGGCATCGGCGAGTGAAATTTCAAGAGAATAATCTATCAAGGCTTCTCGCTCGCTTGTGTCATTGTTATCTTACGTTAATTAATAATGGAAAAACTAAAACGAGGATAGGAAGCACGTCGTATAACTGCATTGCATCCCTATCTCGCCCCTCCTCCTCCTCTCCCTCATACTTTGTCAGGTAATTTCAAAGAAACATTATATATGCCGCAATTCGCGCCATTGAAATTTAGTTCTAACATCTCGCGTATCAAATCCTTTTCCACCTTTCTTCGTTTCCCTGTGCTTTCATAGTCAATACCCGATTAGTGTCATGCGTTTCCTTATGCCGTCCACTCTCTGCCGCGCTTCTTCTCACGCCTTTCGCATAATCGCCTCTTTCTCTGCTTTTCTCTCTCTCTCTTTTTCTTCACTTCCTCTCCCTCCTCGAGGGCAACGCATCTCTCTTTGGACTTTTCCGTTTATGCCCCTTTACTCGTACCTTCTTCATTTTTCTACCCTACCCTAAATCCCTTCCCTCCCGCTCTCTCCTCCATCGCACTGCTCCAGGCGGCCCACGACCCCGCGTATTCGCCGCCTTTCTTCTCGCATCGCTCACACCCTCGACAACGTTTCTCGTTTCTCGTCTTTCTCTTTCTCTCGCCCTCGCAAATCCACCCCTTCGCGCGCGCTCCCTTATCCTTCTCCTTCACCTCCCCTTCCTCCCGTTCCTCCTCCCACCCTGCTACCGCATGCTCGTTCTCGCCCTCACCCTCACCCAGCCCCTCGCGCTCCTTCTGCTCCCTATCGAGTTTTGCTCGTCGAGCTTTATGCACCCCATCCGTCCGATCGTCCGTTCGCTCGCACATCCACCGCGCCACCGCCACCGCCACCATCGCCGCGGCGACCACCGCCGCCACCCCTTCCTCCTTGCTTCCATCCCCTGTCTCTCTCCCTCTCTCCTCCTTCCCTCCTCACATCCCTCTCTTTCAAACTCCTCATGCGTCATCGATGTCCGACGATGCACAGGCCCACCGGATATTTTTCATGCCTTCGTCACTTAATCGCTACAAGTCGCTTACGCGACGAGCACACTTACTCATTGTGAGGTATGTCCTCCTCTTGCTGGCGACTCGAGCCTATCCACAAAAGAAACAGTACCCCGGAGCGCAGCAGCCTGTCGACGGGCAGGAACATTATTTCCGACGGTTCTCAACAATTATTTCTCGAAATCTTCTCTCTTTCTCTCTTTCCGCCCTCTCCTCCTCCGTCGCCCTCGGTCTCTCGGCACGGGGGTGAGCGTAGCTTGTGTCTCTCTCTCTCTCTCTCTCTCCCTCTCTCACCCCCCCGGGTAATTTCGTGATTGGCGATCGATCGTCGAACGGGAACCAGCAAGACCAGCGAACCGGTCGTCTCTTGGTTGGTTCGGCGCTTAGGCGATTTAACGATCTTCGCGCATCGTCCATAGGTCATGCATCTTTTTTGCGCACTGCGTTCGGACCTCCTCTCCTTGCCGCGCACGCTTTACCTCCAGAACCGCCGATCCTCGATCTATCTACTCACTAATCGCAAATCGTAACTCGACGTATCACCCGCGCGCGCGCGCGCCCGCGCGTGTCGCATGTACGAGTGTATGTATGTACAAGCAAAGATCGCAGCAAGTATCGCAGATGAATAACGCGCTTGGACGATTCAGCAATCCACACACTGAGCGCTGCTCCTTTCTCTTCGTCGTCCACCACCTCCTCTCTCTCTCTCCTCCTCGTCCTCTCCTTCTTCTTCTATGCCTTCTTCACCTCCAACGCCTTTCCTTTTTCGTGGTACTCCTTTTGCGAGTGGTCCTCGCGACGAGTCCGGCCAACTCGATCATTTCAACGGAAAGAGGAAGGCGGCGTTCCGGGCTTCGTGCCGTTCCGGAACGTATGTCCGAAATGTCACTGCCTTCTCCGGAGCCGAGCGCGACCACATGATTTCACCGCGCGAAACGTAGGCAACATTCTCTTTCTGGCGCGCGCACCACCCCCTCAGTGCCGCTGCGACCGGACGATACGATTTATTCGCACTATTCCGCGACGCGGCAGCCGCCGATTACCGCGTTGTCGCGCGATCTCAGTACGGTTCACGCCGTAACGCGCAGAGAACCAGAAAGAATGGAAGACGGGGGAGTGTGATGGAGGGAAGAAGAGCGGGAGACGGAGAGCGAGATCACGAGGAGGAAGGGAGGGTTGAGGGTTGTAAACGGACAGAGAAAGACAGAGAGAGAGAGAGGGGGGGGAGAGAGGAAGAGAGAGAGAGAGAGCGAGAGAGAGAGCAAGAGAAACTGTAGAAGAGGCGGGAAAGGGGATTGCGCGAAGGAGGGAGGAGAGAGGGTGACGACGAGAAAGAGACCAAACGTGAGGTAGTAGTACGCGCGGGGGAAAAGGGTGGAAAGAGATGCGGGTGGTGGTGCGGGCGTGCGGACGAGGGAAAAACGCAGGCAGACGGATAGAGAACACGAGCCTCGCTCTCGCGAGCGGCACGCGACACGACCGGAGCGAGTCCACTGCGCTCCGCACGGTTCTGCTCTCAGGGGCTGCCGCACGTACTCGCTCGTGGAAAATCGTGCGAGGGTGGCTAGCGCGGCAGCGGAGGTGGCGGCGGCGACGGCAGTGGTGGTGGTGGTGGTGATGGTGGTAGTGGTGGCGGCGGCGGCGGCGTTACGTTACGTTACGTTGCGTCGCATCGCGTCGCGTCGCGTCGCGTCGCCTCGCCTCGCCTCGCCTCGCACCGCTATCTCCACCGCCTCCGCCACCTCCGCTGGCCATCGGAGGCGGCTCGGCGCGCGCGCATTACTCTTACTACGTCTACGACTACGATCAGCGGCAAGAGTTCGGAGTGGCGCGACGCCGACGCGGCGTTTCGGTAGTACGTTATTCCAGCGGGGGGTGTCAGCGTGTACTCTCCGCCGCCTCCGCGCTCTGCCCCTCTTTCACCCTTCGGCAACGCCGAAGGGGATCGAAACGGGGAGGATGTAGACGAGGGTGTAGCGTTCATGGCGGTCGCTGCGACGGCGGTAACGCTGGTTAACCGGAGGCGAACGACGGTGGCGAACAATTGCGGTAGCATCGACATCATCGAGGTCATTGAAACTGATCAAAGCTTTTTCGGAGATTCTTCCTCGGCGGTTCGGTCCGTGAAGCTTGTGGAAGCTTCACGAACGTAGGTAGAGTGAGCCCGAATGTCGCGAGTCATCAGCACCCCGAAGAAGGGCAAGAGGTGGTTGGCGGTCGCCTGTACAGACAAGAGAGGAGAATGAGGGATGAAAGCGACGAAGAGGAGGAGGAGGAGGAGGAGCCGGGGTGGTAGTAGTAGTATTAGTAGTAGACGAGAGAGGGTAAGCGAAAGGAGGGACACGATAGAGCGGCAGCCCGGCGCTGTTCCACGGACAGAAAGGCGCGACGAACGGGGGTCGGGGGAGACAGACAGACCCGACCTTACGCCACGTTATGGGGGTGTAACGCGGCGCAAGCCCGGTATCATTGATTTAACATATATCTATATCTTACGTAAAGGCAGAGCTTTTCCTACCCTACCTACCTAGCTACCCTACCTATCTCTACCCTATGCCTCGCCGCGAGGCGAAGTAACACGTTATACTTGTCTAAGCATGGCAGGAATAGCGTTATGCGCGAATTGTGTAATAAAATGGCCGGAGCGTGAGATCTCTTCATCATCGGGGTCGTTCCGGGGCAAGGTTGTTGAGGATCCGGATCTACTACGTCTACGTGTCGGCGATTCGGATATGAAGTAGTCGGTAGATTTTCCTAGTTCAGCACTTTGTCCTTGTACTCTCTCTGTAAACATAAAGAAAATATTAAATGGTATTCAACACGTGGATAATCTGTCGTCTGCTCATTAAATCGTGAATTATTAAAAATAATTTCCTGGAATGGATTCAATTATTTTATCGCGATCAGTATAACATTTCCATTTCGACAGAATAAAAGAACGCTAAAAAAAAATGTACTTGCATAAAATAGAATACTGAAAAGATAGATCGCGCCTTTCGCGCCACTTCGTTTGAATGATGACTATGAAAGAGGAAAAAAATTATTTATCCGTATAATATGCGATAGATTTGTACATTATATTATCAGGTCGGAAATTCAAGCTAATGTTTCTAATCTTGCACGTATGTCCACTTAAATAATATTAGTCAGCGAAATTACTTAAATTTGTGTTAGATATTGTATTACAAATTTATCAATAAATTGAACATTGTTATATAGAAAAATACAATATCCAATTTACAACACGTAATTATAATATAAAAGACAGAAGAAGCTCTTTATCAATCTGTAAGAAAATTAGGCTATGATTGATTAAAAATGATCAGGAAGGAAACGGATTCCTATTTAGGAAATAATCGATGCGCGTGTAGACTCTGCTTTACATCTTATAAATTTACGTCGTCAGACTAATAAACCAATTTGATCGATGAAATGAAGGCGATATTGCAATTTCGTCTCTATCCTAAGCAGAGCTAAATGAACGACGACTGACGTGAGAATCTGCGGATTTTTTTGCGCCTGAAAATTAAATATATGAGAATATATAGTATTTATTTATTTCAACTTTAAAAGAGTGAAAATTCAGTTTTGTTTATACAAATATCCCTTATATATAACGCATGTCTCCGTTTCTCAAACATAACCCTACTACTGTATTCAGTTCCTTCTGTAGTAATATCTATTCAACAAAAAACTTTGTGTTGTATGCAGTATCACGTCTCTCTCTCTCTTTCTTTCTCAACACGAACCTATAAAATATACCTTCACTTTGAATATTTATATGCTGACACTAATACAATATACAAATCTATCATATTTTATATTATTTGGATAAACTATTTTTTTACACTTACTAATTACACATTCGCCAGTACTTAATCTTCGTCAACATGAAAAGAAATTACAAACATAACAGAACGATCGGAATGCAAGAGAGATAGGGATTTTACACATATCATATGACGTGCGTCGTACAATATGGTGTGAATAAGTAGATTTGCGCATATATAGTGGGTAAAAGAAGCATTTGCACGCTTTCTTTTTCCTAGAATCGATTTACATCAAGAGAGAAAAATATTCCTTTACACCAGCTTCTGCCAGAATATAATATAGTTTTTATTGGTGTTAATATACTGAGAGAATAAGGTCACATTGTAGCAAATATCTTTTTTTATCCACTATAGAACATCCAATTGTGCATCAATACGTTTCGTAAAATGTTCAATGCAAATTGTGCCACTAACAGTATATTCTACATTAGAAAAAAAAGTTCACAGAATTGTATACACAGAAGAATTTCTCATTTAAGTCCCTCTACTGCCTTTTCTTCGCAACTGATAATCCATTACAGTTGAGTTACATCCAGTTGTTAGTTATATCCAACGATTGACACCGGTATGATCTCTAGAAATAGAATTCTGCGCATCGCCAAACATCGTACTTCATTTACACTCGAATAAAATCGTTAACATAAAAACTAATATGTGTATGTGTTGGATTTACCTGTTAATTTAAACCTTATTTCGGCAAAATTATACCGGTATTAATCCTCGGTTACATAGCACTCGTTTACACAATTATTTCTTAAATCTCCAGATAATTTTGTGCGAATCGATAAAAATGTAAGAAACACTTAAATAGTATATCACATGTTTAATATTTTGCGAAGTGTCCGTTTAATAATTTTTCAACTTTATATATCTACTGTACGAATCGCTAGCACGCAGATACAACTCGTTCGCTGTTTACGTATGTTCTACACTTTATCAAGCCTCATGTTGTCTGCTTTACGTGAGCAATTATAACTTGTGGAAACAAACAATAAAATAAAAAAAAATCGGCTTTTCTGTCGCAATTAACAATGTAAAAACTTTTCAACGATTCATGCAATCCATAACTTAAGTGTGTATACATATATATGTGATGTATGTTTGTGATATTCACTGCGACATCACTTCTGTCACACGCATATTAACGATAGGTCGAAGTTCTTGTTGCGCATAATCCTCAGGCAAGGGTAGCTGTGATATTAGACGGACTAATAACTTCGAGACGGATCTACTGTCATTCTTCTGCAGTATCAGCAGATTTCTAACCAAGTGCAGCGTCCTCTTCGCGATTTCAGCCTGGCACAATCTGAAAGAATGTGCCATGGAACTTGCATTGGCGTAGTCACGAAACTCAAGACAAAGCCACATCGAAGACCATCACTATCGCGTCAGATTCGTAATTGTATATACCTATGTTTAGCGGTTGGACATGGAAACTGATCGATGTTGAGACATAGAGATGTCAATCGCGGCTTCAGCGCTTCCAGTTGATACGTTATTCCACAGAAATCGGACGTGTGCAGGCTTTGTATTTCACTAGTTACTTCCATATATTCCCACAGAAGCTGACCTTGATGCGCCCAACCACTAATTGTGCTACTATACTCAGCTGGTACTAATGGGCTCAGCAAAGATCTTAAATATTCATAATTTTCTGAAAGAAAAAAAAAGTTAATAAAATATATTCCGAAAAATTCTTCACAATATATACGGCAATAAAAGAGGCAAATGATACCGTTTATTATAGCATCAGCTGCCAAGTGCTCTATAATGATCTCATGAGCCTGATTCCATTGTTCCGCCTGTATATAATACCAAGCCGCTTCGCCATATCTGCATAGATAATGAGTTTCGTACTATGATAAGCAGCACAAAAGTGTTTATTCTTCTTTTGTTGATAAAAATGCCTCTGATAAAAATGTGACTGAAAGCCAATCAGAAGGCCTACAAGTCGCACTTAGAGATACTTTCACCAATAAAAGAAAGTTCAGAATAAAGATATTTTCTTTACTCCCAATTTTACTTTTTAACTTTTACATATCGTCGTAGCGCGGGAAGAAATATGTGAAAATAAAATAAAGGCTATCAGAGAAATCTACAATTAAATTCGCTAAATTAAAAGTCTACGAAAGCTATACGCGAAAAAATAATAAAGTTAACACACACACGTTCGCAGTATAAAAATTATTATTTTATCGCGATATAGAAGTATTCTATTGAGAACAAAATTAGTTAAACATTTGATGCTTTGCTTCCTTGTACAGATAAAGAAGATTTCTTTTAATAATATGTATATATTTTGGATATCTGTCAAATACCTCTTATTGATTCTACTCTTAATGGCTTTAGCTTGGTGAATCCAGACCGACGATATACCGAGTTCCTCCTTCAGAAATTGCTCACGTTGCGCATACTCTAAGGTGTCGTCTATCTCTACGTGGCGCAACAGCAGATCTTGCACGGCGGCTCGTCTTCTAGCCGAGTCACGTAGATGCAACATCACGAAAATCGCCCAATGCCATAGACCGTGCGCCTCCAATTGCGTGGCGAAGTTTGTATGCGTCAACGCGAACACATGGTCAGCCAAGTGCGTGTAACCCAAACCCGTGACTAACTGTTGTATTAACCAACTGTCGCGAACAAAGAGAAACAATTGTACATCAGCGAGAAACTCTTACGGCGGTACGTCGTTCTATCTGTAGCAGACGCATACAGCTCTGGCTACATCCTACACTCGAGTCATATACTCGATTTCGTTGCCCCATCCCTTTCATTGCGCTTGTAAGATTAACTATATATACGACTGAAAAGCACACGCGAATGTCGTCGTCAACGTAAAGTTACCTCAGCCTGTAATCCAGCGGATTAGCGGTGTATGATAGCGGATTCAGCAGCTCCCCCAGATCGTGAATCCCGGTGCAGTATAACTTCAAAAGATGATAGCAAAGATCATATATCCGTCTGCCGTTACTTATCTCGGCGTCGTAATCGCTGCCTCTGTATTCGGGCTCGGGCGCCGCCGCGTACACCTCGCTCTCCGTCGTATTGAAGGACGTCTCATAGAGGTCGAGCACGTCCGTGATCGAACAGGTTGGCGACGACAGATACCAAAGATGAATGGCGAAAGCTCGTTTCCAGTCGAGGTCTTCGCACACATTGATGGTGCCGTGTTTGCTGCTGATCAACGGCTCGCCCGCCACTATCATGAAAAGCTTGAGTCGCTCGACCGTAAGATTCTTGTCCACATCGGTCTTTTGCCACAGAGCTAACTGCTGCTTGATCAGCTCCTTCGTGGGCATCCCGCTGCGCAGCTGCGCCATCAGCAACGCCAGACAATGGTCGCCGGCTTTGCGCGCAAATTGGCAGGCATCCTCCAGCTTGCAAGCAGACAATAACGACAAAATAATCTTCTCATGAGAATTGTCGCCGTCGACGCTCCTAATTTCCTGCTCGACCGTCTTCTGCACCACATTCTTCAGCCACTCGCCTATGGCCTCTCTTCTCGCCATTACGTTGTGATGGTCTCCCTCCTCGACGACGGACTCTTGATTGAACAAGTCACCCCACAGTGCCACGCACAACTTCCACACGATACTTGCATATTGACGAAACGAACGCTCAGCACTGGGTCGGTATGCTTGCTCATCGTTCATGTCTTCGTTCACTTCCCCTTGTTCTTTCTGCGCGAGCTCTTGAGCCAAGGTGCAGTGCAATCGTAAGGCTTCGATGGTGGTATCCAATGACACGTCGAAAATAGGACAGTCGCCATCTTGGCCGATCACGCAATGGTCCAATTGGATCCTCAGATGACGGTCTATGCTGTCTTTGAACGTTTTAATATCGTCCTCATCGCCACCCAGAATCTGAAGCCGTTGCACGATCGCGGTCGAAGTAATGTCATCGGCTAGACGACCGGAAACGTAACTGCTTAGTTGACTGAAGGCGCTCTGCAACTGTACCTTAGTCGCTTGATCCTGAGTACTCAGTGATAACAATGTCAGACCAACTCCCCAACTTGGCCGAAACATCCTGCCCATTTGTACTCCAGTATCGGCGACACAGCGGAATTGCAACTTGTTCAATCGGGACTCCTTGAGTGGCACTACCTCAAAATGATACTTCAGTATACTGGTCACCGGTGAGATCACCGGCGGTAGAATCGTTCTATCGACAACCGGCGGTAGGATCGCTCTATCGACAACCGGCGGCAGCTCCCGATGATCGATGGCGGTCTTTGCACTGCTGATGTGCAATGGCTGTGATGGCTTGACCTTGCTCAACGCGTAGAGCTCGTCCTCTTGACTCGCATAAAATGGCGACATCTCGTTCATGGTGAAACTGGAGCGTAAGGTCACGTTATACGCCTCATCCCTCTTGGCTTCAGGAGTTTCAGTACTGGGAAAGTAACGGATCAGAGTTTTGCGTACGGATGGAAGTATGCCGCCGTTCAACTCGCTGTGGACTATGTCGTCGTCGTCGTTGGTGTCGAAGAAGCTCGCCTTCATGAGCTGCAACTTGTGGCTGTCTGTACCAGCGACTCGAGCGTTTTCGCCGACCGGGCTGACGGTCGTTTGCTTCTCGTAATTGTAGTCGCGGGAAGCGAACATACGGCCCATCGGAGTCTCCCTTAGATAATTGCTTTCGATTTCCGGGTGCTTGTCGCTCCCTATCTTCGCTGTACCTTCGTTTACTGCGTCTTTGTTCATGGTCGTTGAGAGATCGGTTTTTCCAGCGTTAACACTCTTCTGCGGAGGCACAGGTAAGCCCTTCAATTTCTTCGTTTCCGAGGCCGACGGTACCTGACTGTCATCCTCGTCCGAGTCACTGAGGCCGTACTTGGAAAAGTGATCGACCTTGAAGACCCATGAACCGGTTTCCGGCCGATACTCGAGGAAGCGGGTGTCGTGCTTCGCAGACACTCGGCGCAGCTTTCCCTCGTAATTCATTGCGGCGAGTCGCTGCGGATCCGTGATCGGCTCGTGCAGCGACTTGTCATGCGGCCACACTTTGTCTAATGTGACTTGCGCCTTGCGATTTAAACCTTGCCCAACTGGCGGTTTTTTGTCGTCGTCTGGGTAAATGATCACCTCTTTGTGCCGGAAGTGAACTGTAAGAACAAATATAATTAGTTACAAATGAAATTTAGTTAACGAACATAAATATATCAGTCATCTTATCGCGATCATTGATCGCAATAAGACACTTATTCGTCAATTATATAGTTAAAGAAAGACATATAACACGTTACGTTAATGATAATAATATGCGTATGTTAAAGTTAAAATTAACATGTACTTTTAGAACTTACCGATTTCATCCAAATTCAAGCCGTACACATCGAACGAATCTGGGAAATACACGTTCCCGTAGCCTTCGCGGCCAACAGTGAAGTTCGGCACATTGCACGTTTCGCCGCAAACATAATCGTCTAATTTGTCGATCGGTGGGATGGTATAGTAACCTGCTCGGCGCAGAGTAACTTTAGCCATGTTCATGGTCCAGTTGGGCTGCAGCATCGAAAATGAGTTCTCGTCTGCATCTTGACTCGAGTCTGTAAAACACACGCAAACGAATGAACATTTGAAAAACGATACTAAGGTGGTTTCGTATCTACTCTTAGTCACAAATGCAAGTATCTTAAAATTAGAGACATAGAGCTAGTATGCAATAAGTTGTATTGAAAATATGTACCTGTATTCTGCACAGTAAGATTCGCGGAGCTCTTGTCACCAAGAGTGGAAGAATTGTGCGGCATTTCAATCGAATTGAACGTATCCGAATGCGTTGAATTCAGCGTATTATGTTGCGGTCTTAGTTCAGCTACCGTGTTATTCATTTCTTCGTTCACGTTCGTTCCGCAGAATGGCGATCGTTGTCCCTCCAAATCGTCGTCCGGGACTTTGTTTTTCCGTGGAATTGTCGATTTCAACCTACAGATAAAGATCAATAAAAATCAATGAAAGCTACGTTGCGTTTATATTTTTTTCAAAAGATTGCGATAACGTTTATCAGAAATTAATCAGGACAGAAACAAAGACATTGTTATCTTACCAAGATGTAGATGACCGTCGATCGTTTGCGAGTCGATTGTTATCTTGGTTATGATTTTCTTTGTTGGTAACTTCGATACTGTTGCTATATTCATTTGACACATCTGCTCTATTGTCGTCTGGGCCACTGGATTTCGTTATAGCTCCATTTTCGGTAGAAGACTGAATCGAGGAATTTGTTGCTGATTTCGGTCGCAGCACTAAACGCTTTGCATTTGGCCGAGGTTGGAAAGCTTCAGCTAGCAGAGGATCTTCCTCTTCTAAACCGTCGAACAAGGATTTCTGTGGAAAAAGAATATTTCATAAAAATAATGTTCGTACTTATGACGTATAGACTTATAAAATATAGAATATACTCTAGTATCTCTCTCATGAAGGATTGCTATTTAGATATAATATATATTAACGCGAGATGTTTCTTGATTGTCTAATAAAAATTACATATCTGTTGTGTGCGAAGATATTAAGGTTACACTTTATATCACATGAATAAAAAAAAAATGTTTTTAATAACTTATTAAAATTACCTTGGACAACTGTACTGTACTAACTGCTCTTGTCTTAATTTTAGGACACCTGTTGTTGGCGGTGACTTTATACTGTGGACTGTTCAACATTTTCGATGTTGGATTTATAGGTTTCAGCAGCTCTTCAGTTTTTCCAGATGCCTGACAATACGACAGTAATGTATTTGTGTGACACTTGCGTTTGTTATGTGCAACATTCTAAATGAACGAGATACTTACCGGTAGAAGATTCTTCAACAACGGTGAATTACCGAATGGTGCTGAAACGAGGGCTAAGATCTGCTGATGTACTGGTACTGAATCAGTTTTCCCTTGATTTGATGCCATCCTAAAACATTATATAAATTATACATATTAATGTATAAATTTATTCCGTCTATTACAAACAATTATGAAAGAAAAGTAAATTATGCTTCTAATTAGCTAAGCTAATAAAATTCATAATGAATATGGATATCGCATTACCCTCCATTAAGCAAGCCTGCTCCTATTCCAGACATCATATTGGAATTTGTTCCAAAAGTAGAGGTTCCAAAAGATCCAGGATTGTTGAATGTGGTGTTACTTCCGGTATTTCCGAACAGACTGCCTGGTTTTTGTTGTCCAAATAAGGAGGTGCCGCCACCCAGATTCAAACCAGTATTCGTACCTGCATAACATCGAAACACTAATGAGTTAATCGTATATTCATTATTTAAAATCTTCACAATTTAAAAGAAATAAACTTACCAAGTCCAGTTGAAGATGTGGACGTGTTCCCAAAAGAGAATCCCGACGTTTGTCCAGCTGGTTTGAAGGACGAGTTGAACAATGAGGATCCAGTATTTTGACCCGAATTGAAACCCGTGTTGGTTCCGAACGCCGAAGGTGCGGCTGTACCGAACGTAGATGTTGTTCCAAATCCTGTGGTGGTTGTTTTATTACCAAATAACGGTGTAGTGCTATTATTCGACGCTGTTTGACCGAAGCCAGTAAAACCAGTACTTGTCGACGTCGATGGGATATTAAAGGCAGACTTGTTCTGGCTAAATAGTCCGATGCTCTGTAATCAAAGTGTTATGATAATTTTTATTCTCGCATATATCGCACAATGCTATACATTACCTGATTCGGTTGCGTTGAGCCGAATGCCGATCCAAAACCAGTACTTTGTCCGGTATTAATGCCACCAAAACCTGTGCCGGCAGTTTGGTTAGTGTTACTGGTTGCAAAAAGCGGCGTTGGTGCAGCTGCTGTATAGAAGTACGTAAAATAAAACTAATTATTTTCTGCTAAAGTAATATAGATAGGATGGTGGATCGCAATTGATCCGAATGGCATACTTCTAAAAAAAGTGAGTATCGTATCGTTTATGCTTATGAGAATGTATCGGAAAATATCTTCAATTTTTCCAATAATCATGATTCGCATTAAAGTGTATGCGAAAATTATATGAAATATTCAATGCTGAGATTTGAGACTTGTAATGATATATACTAAAATACAAATGTAACTTACTGCCGAAGGGTTTCGCCTGAGAATTGGTGCCAAACAGATTCGTGCTGGGTGTGGAATTGAATGCAAAGCTATTGGTTGTAGTCGCTGGTGTTCCAAAATTACTGATGGGTTTTCCGAATAATCCAGTCGATCCAGACTGACTAGTGGTGCCAAATCCGCCAGTCATCGATCCAAATGCTACAACAAACGAAATAAATGTAATGTTTTCCGATTTAAACAAATGTAGAAGAGTATTGTGGGACTATTGTGCAATATAAATAAACAACATTAACACGTTCACGATTTATTTAGAGAATTCTCTCAACAAACCACATAACATTTATTTTCAATTGTAAAACTGTGTAAAACTTTGTTTATATGGAAAAATATGTAAAGATAAACGTCATTGTTATACATGTTAACATATTAAAATTAAAAATGTTTAGTAAAAATGAACTTGAGTAAAAAATCAGTGTATCACACATGTGACGCCGATGGTGAACGTGTTAATTGCACAGAACTGTCTGTGTGTAATTTTTTATATCATGTCTTACCTGTACCAGCTGTGCTAGTACCAGCAGTTGTATTGCCGAATGGCGATGGCTGCGCCGGTGTTCCAAAGAGTCCAGTATTTTGTGGACCTATCACAGACGGAATGATCAGTTCTCCACCCGTTATTTTATGACGTTAAATCCGACATTACATAGAGGTTGATGCAAAATGTCTTGTACTTCGTTAAATTGAATATCAATTTTGCAAACCATTTTGTAAAATTTTTGGTTATTAATTAAAAAAAATTGGCACGATACAGCAGATGAGTTGTGATAGCAACACCTGCTGTCGTACGTTTCTAGATTAGGTCAAATTACAACAAAAAGGTCCTCTATTATTATTCAAATAATAATGTAGATTTTTAGTTATTAATTAAAGAATATTAGTGCATTATCACACGCAATTATTCGCTAATCTTCTTTAATTAATAATTCAAAAACCTACATAATTATTTGCAAAATTATAAAGGACCTTTTGTTTATTTTAACTTACTCTACAAGCACATGAACACAGTCGCTATTACAGCTCATTTGCCGCACATGGTAATTGAGTACTTCTTTAATTAAAAAAAAAACTTTTACATGATTGTTTGCAAATGGAATTTTGTGTTTCATTTGACCTAATCTATATGTACACGAGGTATGGAACAATTTGCATCAGACACCTTGTATACCATACTATTTTCAAACAAAACTAAACCTTTTCTTCCCACTTGATAATCCTCAAAACGTAATTCCTCGTACGATTTTGATTCATATTCCTTCATAGCCACGATGCAACAGTGACGTGCCGAAATACTATGCGATATTCCATTCTTGGACATAGAGTCGGTTGTAACGACAGGTGTGAATTTCACAACAGTGCCCATTGGTACTGTAGTGGTAGTATTGCTGTTGACAAAGCCTAATACAGAGGAATTACAAAATAACCCAACTTCTGAAGGTTTTATAAGCTTGTTTGGTATTATCAACTGATGTTTAGTTGATAACTAATCAAAGGTGAACTAATTATGCTTGTAGTTTACCTGTATTTGTACCAAAAAGATTTGTATTTGTAGTAGTATTCTGTTGACCAAATGGAGTAGTTTGTTGCGCCGGTTGTTGCGGTTGCCCAAAGAGATTGGTTCCAGACGTCGTGCCAAAGCTGAAGCCACCAGGCTTATTTGCTTGACCGAATGCTGATGTTCCAGAGCTTGAACCGAAAAGATTTGTCGCATTCTGCTGGGTGCCAAAGAGATTAGTGCTTGTATTTGTTGTTCCAAAGCCTGCAATGAGAAGAAACAAGTCAGTCCGACAATATATCGCAAATATTATCATCTTATAAACTTTATATTTTTTAGTCATGCCTATTTTTGCTGATTATTAATTTAATTCATTTAATAAAAAAAATTTAGAATCCTCAAAAGTTAAATTATGCAATAAAATTTTTGGAGTAATTCCTGAAACCAATTTGTTTTCATGAAAAGTAACTAAAGTTGTTTCAGATGCATGAGCGCTTGAGTAAGTACATAAAATACTTTTTTCTTTTACTTGGTACATGCAAATGAAACAGTTCATAAATTGCTACCTCCGAAAGATGGTTGGGTACTAGTTGGCTGTCTAAATGCTGGTGGCGTTGTAGTATTGCCAAACAAGCCACCTGTGGTAGAACCTGTAGGCTTAGAATTAAAGAGTGAAGTACCACTACCAAAGACAGATGTTGCACCACTACCAAAACTTGTTGTAGTAATGGGTTTACCAAATGCGGATTGACCAAATGGACTGTTTTGTGTTGCTGTATTAAATCCACCTGAAAGAAAGACAAACTTTAACAAAATTCTCTATTTTCTCAATATTGTACAAATAATATTTATCTGTATATCCAATGTAACATACTGAACGACGCATTTCCAGTTTGCCCAAACATTCTCACAAAAATCGTCAGATCACTATAGAATCTTTCTCAATCTGAAATAAAAATGAATCTTACTTCATGCATATTATACATTACTTTTTTATATATGTGTATATATATATGTATATATATATATATACACAATTAGCAAAAAGCATATAAAAGTCATTGTTATTAATATCTCTGGCAAAATAATTATAATAAGATAATTGCAATCAATGTTATCCAAGAATGAGCTAACAACAGACCAGCGTTTCGAGGAAACGTAATCAGTTTAGCAGTCACTGCAGCACTCAACCAGTTGCTCTCTCTCTCTCGCGTAAGTCTATAACTGCTACTTGATAACAGTACAAGATATCGCTCTCTATTAAAAACGTTTCAACGTGCCGTGTGTGTATCGTCGAAAACACTAAATCGAAAAGCTACCAGCGCGTGATATTCCTCCATATCTTACGTCTTCAGAGAGAAGGGAGCGCGATCCATTAGATCTGCTTTGGTTAATAACGCATACCAGAATCCTCCATTGCTGGAGAAAAAAAAAACGTAAATATCTTAACGGACTCCATTAGACTTGAATAATTAATTGCTATAACGTCTAACATCTTATTCCGATTTTTACTCACCCCCAATAGCTGGACCAAATTTATGTAAAAATGCGTGCACGGAGATGTATCTTTCTCACAAACACTAGCGTACGTCACGGCAAATTGCGCGCAATTTCATCTAAAATGGCATTCTATGAGCCATGAAGAAACTGCCATGAGTTATTTATAACGATCAGAGAAATGTGAACACTTCGGTTTTTAGTCTCGCGATTACAGCGAACCTGCCGACATAATACGTAGCCAATGGCTGCGTTCAGTAGAGAAAGTTGCTTTGCAACTGTTGTAAAATTCGTGAATCTGATTAGAGTATGCTTTTAATTTTGGTTGAATCCAAAAGCATGTATCAATCAGATTCACGAATTTTACAACAGTTGCAAAGCAGCTTTTTCTGCTGAACGCAGCCAATTTCACGAAAACAGGATCATTTCATCGACATGTAGACACGATCCACTTGAAGCTACTAATGCTTCGGAACATTTAAAGAAGAAGTGTGATTGGTTTATATGGTGTTTCGGAGCATTTTGACGTTTTGGCTTGCTGGTTACGCGACATTATGCCGAAAACTAGATGGGGAATATGTTGGTACCAACGAAAACCCCTGGGTAGCAGAACATTAAATCTGTGAATTGGCAGCACTATTGAAGTTGTAAATCTTATGGGTACGATAAGTTGTCGGATTGGAAATCCGACTGAACAGTGGTACTCAATCGACCCATTTCAAAAAATTCCCTAGCTTAATCAGATTTTAGTAAAAGCTGTCTCAGCAGTAATCGGATTAGCTTCATAGCGACGTATCAGACTATGGATTAAGATTGAGATTGAATTGAAAATTGGCCAATCAGAGCAAAGTTCACCAAACTTGAGCTTAGTGAATTTTGCTCTGATTGGCTAATTTTCAATTCAATCTCAATCTTAATCCGTAGTCTGATACGGGCTTTAGCAAAACCGGGTATTAGATATTTTATACATGTAAATTACGTTCTTACATATTTTACGTAATATACATATATAACACTTATAATGTAAAAAACCCTAGAATTTATCAAATGTCCCAACCCTGCCCAACCCTGGTTCATACTACGCATATAAGTAAAATAGTTGTTTTCATATCGCAGAGTTCGAACTTTTGCAGCGGTATTACGAGCACATAATTACGAGTATAACATCAAAATTAGCAATTATATCGCAGTTTTTATTACGTTTTATTGAATAACGTAAGTAAATGTTTATTCGCCATTGCTGAAAGGCGTAAGTAAAGCCAACCTAATTGCTTCTTTAATATATAGGAAAATAATGCCTCTGAGTTATTTTGGCATTTTTATGTGTTTAGACAATCGACGAATGCTGGCAAAAACACGTGTTAAATACAAGCTTTTAAATAACAGTATCAATTTAACCGCATTCTTTGTTGAGTCTCACCCAACTGTACAATTGTTCGAATTGAAGCCAAATATATTTTAATGTTCTTTCGCAGATATTTTAAAGTAATTAAAATAAGATTTTTTTTTTCTTTTTAACTATAACCTTGTTACAAAGTGTTCACTGTGTTCTCAGATGTGGGCACTATTCTAATTCAATATGCTGTTCTCTGGCAAGGCCATATCTTCTTGCAAGCAATATGTGTATTCTCATTATTAATTTTCATTGTTTTATCACATAAAAACAAGTTCTGTCGCATGAATTTATATAAATTGGTTACATCTGGTATGAGACATTTCATAACCTATCCTAAGAGTTGTTAGATTGTACTTTGATTTTGTATATTGCATGTAAAGATAAATACAATTCTATAAATACTTTAAAACTATTGTGATAGTAACATGTAACAAGGATTACTCGCATCATGTACAGAATATAAGGATTCTTTTAGTATTTGCAGGTCTAAAACAAGTTGTGCAAAACTGGGTCTTCCCTGTGGCGCAGTTTTCCAACAAGAGCACATGATCTCATATATGTCATAAGAAATAGTGTCAGGACAGGTTAGACGACATTTGTCCTGTGTTAAATAATGTAGCAAGTCCTCATCCTTTATGTTAGGATATGGAAATGAACCTAAAGTTCCAATTTCCCAGAGAACAATGCCAAATGACCACACATCACTTTTGGAAGAGAAAATATGATCACGTACAGCTTCTGGTGACATCCAACGTATTGGAAGTTGATGAACTTTGCCTGTATTATTTATCACATATATTCCATTTCGTGACAAGCCAAAATCAGAAATCTATAAATTTAATAGAATTAAGAAATGTTATAATATATATATATATATATATATATATATATATGTGTGTGTGTGTGTGTGTATATACATATATATACACATGTATATACATATATATACACACATGTATATGTATTGTGATATAGGGTCAGTTACCTTCGGCGTCAGATCCAAAGTAAGAAGGATATTTCTTGCTGCTAAATCCCTATGTGTAATTCCCTTAGATTCTAAATGTTCCATTCCTTTTGCAATATTGAGTGCAAATTCTACAAACTGCTGCTTCTCAATTTTATAGTGTAAATCTTCATCTTTGAATCTGTCTTCCTTAATAATGTTTACATATCTAGAAACAGGCTTCTCAAAGTTGCATAGAGGTATTACATTTGGCTCCATCTTTCTTCTGGAATGCAAATATGCAAGCAAATTTCCACCTTCCATATACTCTAAAAGTATACATATAGGATCATCAGGAGAAGTGCAATAGCCTATAAGGCCCACTAGATATGGATGAGGGCCAGCTGTTTTCATTGTTTCAATTTCTTCTAATAGCTGACGTCGGGCTTCAGGCTCATTGGTTGTATCAGAACACTGTGACATCTTAACAGCTACCAATGTATCCATATTATTGTTTAAAGTGCCAAGATATACTCTACCAAACTGTCCTTTTCCTAATTCATGCTGGAGACTTATGCATTTATATGAGATTTCGAATTCATTATTGTTTTCATATACTTTGCAACATGTCTCCTAGAATAGAAAATATTAAGTTTTATTGAGAATTATACTAACTTTAAGAGATTTTTGAGAAGTATCTATTTTCAATTTTCTTCCACTTACTTCAGGCCATTGTAGTTTGCAGTCAGAAAGTTCAGACATTGTTTGTCTCCTTCTGTTTAAAGATAAAAGTTTTAAACTAGTACTTTAACAGTACTATTGATATATAAATTATGTAGGAAAATTACAAATAAATTGATATTTTACCGTAAAATTCTGGGCAGCTGTAGAAGTTGATATTGATCATTCTTATTGTACAGTGAAACAAAATACTGACTGACAAATCCTAATATTGTAATACAAATAATAACACCAATAAATATCCACTGCAACATAAATATTTTGCATCACACAATGCATCGCACAATTCTCTACCGAAATAAAAGTTATATTACTATGATATTTCCATAGGACGTCGTGTTGATAGTAAAATCTCCTCGAGTTCCCAAACAACCTCGGTGATCTATTGCCTCTACAAATATCTTGTAACTATTTTTTTCTTGTATATACTGATTGTGAAGTCTTGAATTCCAAGTAAAAGTATTTATTGTAGAAGTTACGTTACTTATACGTGTGATATTATACACCGAGTGTCCTGCGTTCGACGTGAATAATGGTGTGCCAATGCTGGAATATTGCATATTTTGAAAAATTTAACAAAAGAGTAAAACAAACTTAAATAAACAGACAAGACAAAAAATCTTACCTAATCGCATAGGAATGAACGTTAGAATTTGATCTAACATACCAATTTATAATTACTTTCCCCGTCATTTGAATTGCTTCCACTGTTGGAATTGGCAAAGTGTCTTTTGCTCCCGCGCAGCACTTACGCCCTACACATTCTGGAACCGTGTAAATGACCTGTACACACACAATATCACATTTTGTGAATATGATATTATACTTACATGTGATGTCAGTCTTTTCTTATTTGTAGTATTAAGTTTAATGTATGCTTAGTTACCTCTGATAATTTTCCTTCAGGTTTAACTCTTGGATAAGCATGTACTTGTATCTTATATGTACAATTTGGATGAATTTGTATACTCTCTGGCATGCTGTTTAATTCTTTTGGCACTAACAAACTAAGTTGAGTTATATTCTGTATGATATAGAATGCAGAACCTTCTTTACATTCTGATTTATTCTTTGGTATACTTGTAACTACAATTCTGCAGGAGAATGCACATATATATATACACATAAGCTGTTTAAAATATATACTTATTTATAATATCTTTCTAGATATATCTGGATATATAGATATACGGATTATATATCTATAAGATATATCTATAATTTTATAAGATTATAGATTTTATAAGATATATCTTTATAATTTATTACTATTATATATTAAAAAGTTAAATAATGCACCTGTACCAAGAAGGTTGTCTTCCCTCATCTGGTGGCATCCAGGACACATTCAGTTTTAATGATTTTGTTGTACTGTTACTTTGAAAAGAATTTTCATCCTCCACAGCATATACTACAATATTTTTTACAATCCCGGCGAATTTTACCACATTCTTTGAATCTGTTACACATGTAGTAGAATGTAAAAGCAATATAATAACTATGGTGTTGTATATTAAGATCCATTTGCATTGCGAGAACATTTCATTTTATAATATGACTATTAGACAAATAACTTGAGTATCACATGATTTTTATGTTCTGTCAAGTTATATTCTAACTGCTTAACTAAGAACACTTCCTCTTGTGATAGTGGAATTCCTTCTCACTTGACTTGAACGCAATGTACAGATAAATCCTATCTCTAAATGTTATCTGGATTGCTCTTATCTGTTTAATCGTACATCAATTCTGCAATTTTATCAGAATAATGGCGTAGAAACGTTGTTGTAAATAACTTTATAAATTAAAAATTAAAACTTAATTAAATAATTAAAACTTACAAATTAAAAAATTTTTTTACAATTGTTAGTAATTAATAGCTATTAATTCAAATTATATGACAACAAAATTATTGGAATTATTTTTCTTGAAGAAGAAAATAATACAAATTTATCAACACATTTATATTTCGTATACATCATATATCCTAAGTTCGTAATAACATTGATTCTGATTATTTGGTAATTTTTGTTTTTTATTTAATGTTCTAGTAACCAAATGGCCTCGGGTGCGATGTCTCCGATTGACGATGACGAGCTCACTCTTCCTCGTGCATCAATAAATAAAATGATCAAAGAGATTTTGCCTCACGTACGAGTGAGGACAGAATCTAGAGAGCTCATTCTTAATTGTTGTACTGAATTCATTCATCTTTTATCTTCTGAAGCGAATGAGATTTGCAATCAACAGCAGAAGAAAACTATAAATGCGGAACACGTATTGCAAGCGCTAGAGAAATTAGGTTTCGGGGATTACAACGCGGAAGCGGAAGCTGTATTGCGAGATTGTAAAGCGGTGGCTGCTAAGAGGAGACGTCAAAGTACTAGATTGGAAAATCTCGGAATTCCAGAGGAGGAATTGTTTCGACAACAACAGGCTTTGTTTGCTAAAGCACGAGAGGAGCAAGCAGCCGTGGAACACCAGCAATGGCAGCAGTTACAAGTTGTTGCACAAATGGCAACCATGTCGCAAACTTATAGTGAGCAAGAAGATTATTCATAAGCGAAAAAAATTCAAAGACGATAGCCTTAAAGGGAGCTGATTTTACCTTTTTTTTTACTTCAAAAAGACACGTAAATGCACGGGACGAAACTGTAGTGGAAAAAATTCACAAATACAAAAATGATAGAAATTTAAGAGAGAATATTATATAAAAATTACAAGCTAAATGGAGAAATATTTCACGCAATTTCTACTTATTTTTGGGATACTATTCTTAAAAATAATTAACAAGAATACTGTGTGGGGATTATTCTTAAGAGAATTTATTTCTGTACTATAACTGTGCATTAAATATCTTAATTTAATGTTATAATTTATTAAAAACAAAGCAATAAAGCAAATAAATCGTATATTTTTGTTTTATTACATTGTTCCTTTAAGTTTAAGGCATCAATCTTCCATATTCAGAAGACAAATGGCTCTTTTTTATTGCCTCCATGACTTTTGAAACATAATGATACCTACGAATATACATATATATGTATAAGAACATGTACTATATATATACACAAACACATATAATCTATATATTATTCAAATGATTTATGTGTGTGCTATCATTGAATATTGTTCAATTCTTACCAGTTTTTCTCCGTTAATACAGATGGTGTCATTGGGTTTCTAGTTACTCCGTGTATCTTTTGTCGTAATTTGTTTATGAGCGATTTTTCACTTTCACCAAAAAATATGTCTTCTGTAATATCAGCACACATTTGTCTGTAAATATTCTAGCAAACTTATATATCCTTTAATTGTTTACACTTCTTACCTTCTTTGTTCCTATTCAAATTTGATGGTATCAAAAATAAGTTTAAACCATTTTCCGTCGAATCCTGACTCATATCTATACCACTATGAGTCTGTAATCTTGAACTAGAAAACGTTTTATTATAAAAATCCTGAAAATACATTAAGCACATCAGATAAGATCTTTCAAATAGAATATACACACACATACACACACTTTAATATTTTAAAATAAAATATATATTAAAATGTATATTTTTATATAAACTTATAAAGTACCTTAATTCTTTTAATAGATGTGGGCATAAAATCTTGTGGTTCTGCCTTATTGTGTAAAAATACAAGATGCGGATAATATTCTACATAATCTTGATCCATGGTGGTTGTTGAGGATGGTTTTAACATTTCTGCCGTTTGTAAAAATCTTCAATATATATAGAAATATTAAAGATATTCTAATTATTTATTATAGAATTAAATATAAAGCATAATGTGTGTGGCTATTTTGTCAAAAAAGATCATTAAATACTTTCATCTAGTCAGTTAATAGATTATACAAATTAATTACCTCACCAAATTTGGATCGCCGAACCAATCTTGTACAAATATTATAACATGACATACTGAGAACAGAAATGCCATAAACTGGAGTGACTGCAATTCCAAGTTAGTTTCAGTATTTGTAAAATCAGATGTGTTCTTTTTTTGATCGAAAGATGACGCAGAATTATCAAATGCAGATATGGAAAGAATTGGCTGTGTATCCAGATATATTACTCTATTTTTTGTTACAAATATATCTATCCCCGTGGTGCAATTTGTAGCATTCTCGTGATGTGACGATTCTTGAATTGGAAAAATGTCCGGCCTAAATATAAGATTTTTAAAATAGTAAATTAAGTTCAAGAGATATAGCAGTATATCAAATATACACATATCAATATATTAGTGTGATGTTACATACGCATATTCAGATGTTAATAGGGACATGATTGTTGATTTGCCAACACTTTGTGTACCTAAGCACCCAACAACAAGAAAGTCTTGTTGATCATATAGATATTCTATTGGATTTTCACATAGCTGCATGTTTTCATCCATGAATTTAATACAACTGATCATCTCAGGATATGTAGAAAGTATACGAATTGCTGAAATGTATAATTTTTAATATATATATATATATACTATCTTGTTATAATATTAGAGAATACTTCAGATTCATTGTTAATTATTCTTATATATTCGTTACATACAGTTTGCTTACTTTCTTGTGATTTTGTTGTTGTTGCATCCATATCCTTCCTAAAAGAAAGAAATAATATATAATTTATTGAATTGTATATATTCTATGATCATACATACGTAGCTAATAATATATAAACTAAAAACTAAGAAAAATAGAATATTATTGAAGAGAATTATAGATATTTAAATAGTAGTATTTAGATATATATAGTAAGAGAAAGAAAATAAGAACTCAATAACAATAATATCAATTAAATAATAGGAAAAAGGGCTAATTTGAGTTCAAGCACAGGATTAATAGTGCTATGTACCATATGGGTAAAATTTTCCTTGTGTTAGGAAATAGAGCAATATTTATTGAACATTAATTAAAGACCTGAATGACATAAATGTTATTCGCAGTATTATAGCTGACAAGGCCGTTACCGGACTAATATTAAGAAGTTCAAATTTATACTAAGAAGTAGCCGTCATAACTATAAAAAAACTATAAAATAAAATAAAAATAGGTAAGATTAAAATATAATAAATAATTAAAACAGTCAATATAAAATATCTTTGTTGAGCTCGGCTAAAAGTGAAACGATCCTGTCTACGATAACATCGCCACGTCTAAGTAATAGAGATAATAACAGATTTATATACACGAGCATTAACATTGCGATGACGACTCGCGGAAGAGAAGGAAACAAACAAAACAGAGTTTTATTTTCATAATAAATCGCAGTAGCCCTTACCCAAATATTCTGTGTCCTTTTGAGAGTTAAGTCCATGCTTTTGAAATTTAATGTAAATCATTTCTCTGATATCAGGCGTTTCAAGTAATAACGTTCCTCATGCAAAACTTTGGTATGATCCCAATTGAAATCATGGTTTTTCCTCAAACGGTGTTTCTGTATGGCCGTTAACTCAACTGTAGAACTCCTTGCTATTCTCCTATGTTCAGCAATGCGCGTAGAGAGTCTTCTACTAGTTTGACCAACATACGACGCCTCACAACTACTGCATTGCAATTTATAGACAATGTTATTATGGAAACCAGGAGATAATCTGTTTTTATGCACACAAATCATTCCTGATAATTTATTAGTGCAAGAATAAGCAATATTTGTCAACTGTAATATTTGTCAATGTTAATGCTCGTGTATATAAATCTGTTATTATCTCTATTACTTAGACGTGGCGATGTTATCGTTGACAGGATCGTTTTACTTTTAGCCGAGCTCAACAAAGGTATTTTATATTGACTGTTTTAATTATTTATTATATTTTAATCAATTTTTATTTTATTTTATGGTTTTTTTTATAGTTATGACAGCTACTTCCTAGTATTAATTTGAACTTCTTAATATTAGTCCGGTAACGGTCTTGTCAGCTATAATACTGCAAATAACATTCATGTCATTTTATTCAGATCTTTAATTAATTCTTTTACTTGTAATGCGTTTGTTTTGTAAACCTTGAGTTTTTATATCACTGAAGAGGGTTCATGATTGAGCCGAAACGTTTGATTATATTGAGTATTCATGTTCAATAAATATTGCTCTATTTCCTAACACAAGGAAGGTTTTACCCATATGGTATATAGCACTATTAATCCTGTGCTTGAACTTGAATTAGCCCTTTTTCCTATTAATTTATATATATATATATATATATATATATATATATATATATATATATATATATATATATATATATATATATATAGTATTCTAAATAAATGCTACATAAGAAATATATACATATAGAAATATATTTAAACCTATATAATGTAAAGTTGTCGTAAAGTATGTTTTAAAATTAAATAAAAAAAATGTTTGTTGATTGTTACCAAACCAAACATTTTATGCAAGTAAATTTTATTATTATTTTATTTTATTAAGTATTTTTATCAAATTTACTTAAAAATTTTTGATATATATATACATTATGTTATATTCTTATTTAAAAATTTCTTTGGGAAAGAGGTCAAGTATAATACTAAAATAAATGTAATGGTACAATACTTGTGTCCATTACGTTGACTCGGAGAAACTGCTCTATTTTCTCCTTCTCGAGTTTTCAATATAAACGTCGGACGTTCTACGATTTTAATCATAGTTTTATTCTCTCCATCTTTCATCTCTGAATCCTTCGGTGTTGTTGACAACATTTTTTCACAACAATGTATCAACGCTTCTGTACACACCAGTACACACACTCATATATTAAACTTATTATTGCTTGTACTTTCATAGGCTGCTTTCTGAAATTTACTGCCAACACAGAAAATCTATAATCTATAGTTCATGTACAATATAGTTCATGAGTACAATCCAGTGGGCGCTGCAAATGCTTTGTAGCGTTTTTACTTTCTCTTTTTTCATTCGAATCCGAGGAATAGAACAAGAGGGAGAAACGCTGCGCAGCATTTGTAGCGGTTAATGGACCGCACCCAAAATCTTATATATAAGAGAGTCAATTCTGTATCTCGAAACGAAGTGAAAATTACAAAAGTGAGCACATTCACTAGGCACTGACCAATGAAATTACGAATATTCTAGTATATTTGCTCACTTTTGTCATTTTCACTCTGTTTTGAGATACACAATCGACCCCCCTGTATCTCGAAGTGAAAATTACAAAAGTGAGCACATTCACTAGGCACTGACCAATGAAATTACGAATATTCTAGTATATTTGCTCACTTTTGTAATTTTCACTTCGAGATACAGGGGGGTCGATTGTGTATCTCAAAACAGAGTGAAAATGACAAAAGTGAGCAAATTTACTAGAATATTTATAACTTCGTTGGTCAATGTCTAGTGAATTTACTCATTTCTGTAATTTTCATTCCGTTTCGAGATATACAATCGACCCCCAGAATCGACTCCAAGGTTTGTTCTTTTCAACTGAACTAGTGCTGCACTAGAACTACACTGGTTCGGAATTGTAACTGGCGAGCAAAGTGAGACTTCTAGTAAAAAAATAAAAATCTAGTAACATCGAAGCAAAAAACTATCGATAGAGGAAATAATCGACTTTAAAAAGATCGAAAAAATAATCGATTTTTTAGAGAAAAAATCGTACATCAATTCATCGGTCGATGTTTGCCCCTAATCGACATTCTGCCCATGATTACGCCATGAACACCATGGCTGCGTTCAGAAAATATAGCTGATTAGTGAGCGGTCAACGATGATTGGTCCTTACTGTTAAATCCCTAACTTTAGAACCAATTACGTTAACTAATTATTCAACCGTTGTGTAACCGTTGTGTCTCCTGACCAGAGTGCTGTTATTGGTGATTTTTCACCATTTTAGGGATTTTAAGGTCTACTGGTGATGTGGTGAATAACTTTCTTTATTTGGTGATAAAAATGGAAACATTATCCGAGTATTCCCATATATCATTTTATCCTTATTGTTCATCGAACAAGGATAAGATTATATATAAGGGCACTTGGGTGATATTTTCGAACGCAGTCAAAGCAATTTCGCAATTGTAAGATTCTTTAATATGATTGGTCTTGTTTCTACTTCCTCATTGGATCTAAATATTGGTATAAATCATATTAAAGAATCTTACTATGCACAGTTGCGTCTTTCGTTGAACGCAGTCAATCTATTAAGTGTAAGAACGAATTATAAACAAGTTTAGTGTACACTCACTGCGCACTAGTGCATTTAATCAAATTTGAAATTAGTAATAATTTACAATACGCTAAAACTAATTATAAAATAAGTTTTCCCCTCTCTTTCTCTCTCTCTCTCTCTCTATTTACGAATATGTTTTCATATTCTCATGAATGTTTAAATATATTATATTAATTTTGTTTATATTTATGTTTAAATATGTTTATTAAAACATTAAAAATCATTAAAATTGTTTTTTTATTCGAATTTATATACATTTTGAAAAAACTAGTGAAAAAGTTGTAATCTGGTGATTTTTGAAGCAGAAATCTGGTGAATAAATGTTTAGAGCCGCGGCAATACTGCTTCGACGCACCTCATGTTTACTGTCGAAGTACATACACACAAACGAGTGCGTAATCTTTTTTCGCGTAATCTTTTTTGTTGATCATATTTATGGAAATTTGTATTTTACTCTAGTGCAGTTAAAAGAACAAAATTAACAAGACGTCGGATGTATATATATCAAAACGAAACAAAGTGTGAACATAGAAAATATTACGTAGATTCTAATTAACAGTAAGCGACGTTGTCTTAGAAAGATAGAAGTTTTGATACTTAAGTTATTTCTAGCGTATAATTTGAAATTATTGAGATTACTATACAATGGAAGTGGACGAGCAGAAAAACGAATCTATGACTTCTTCCGAGAATAACTCTGTGATTGGTGATAACCTCAATACTAGTGGCAACGAAGTAATTTCCGAATCACTATCATGTGACGAGCGAAACATCGAGGAATCAAAAACGAAAGATACGTTCGATGATTCCAAAAATGGGTCAAATAACACATGCGAAAAACCAATTGCAGGATTTAAAAAACCATTTTCACTTATTATCGGCCCAAAGCGGGGTAAAATTGGCAAAATTCGTCGAATGACAAATGATGTGTCTTCAGTGTCATCTGTGCCATTAACTGCATCATTACTTGCAAACGAAGAAACGACTGAAACTATTCAACCGAAAGATGATGCACTCAAAATTGATAAGTCAATCTCCAAAAATACTCCAGAAGAAAATGTCACATCTGACACAAAAGATATTCCTGTTCCATATACAGAACCATCATGGGGTGGGAAACCAATGGAGGAATATAAATTGGAGGTTCTTAAATCTGGAGTAATTCTGGAAACGATTAATTTAACTGAGAGTTTCTATGTGGTAGGAAGGTTACCCTCTTGTCATCTGTCCCTTGCTCATCCGACTATCTCAAGATATCATGCAATTATCCAGTATAGAGCAATTGAGGATACCTCTGAAACTTCAAAAGATATCCAATTAGACACCAACCAAAAAACTACAACCAAGAATTCCAAAGGTTTTTATTTGTATGATTTGGAAAGTACACATGGAACATTTTGGAATAGTCATCGTATAAAACCTAGGACTTATGTCAGATTACATGGAGGTCACATGATTAAATTTGGTTGTAGTCAAAGAAAATATATCTTACAAGCACCAGCAGAAGATCAGGAAGACGAATCTGAACTGACAGTTACTGAATTAAAGGTTGGTTTAATAGTATTATTCCTATAATATTCTATTATTTATTTCCCTTTTTGAACTGATGTTCTTATATGTTCATTAAAGAAATAAAATCTTTAAATATGTTATTTCTTTTATACAGGAAAAACGGTTAGACAAAATACGAGAAAAACAAGAACTAGAGATTAGACTACAGGAAGAAGAAAAAGCCAAAGAGAAGTCCAGAGAAGCAGAAGAGAGCGGTGGTATTGATTGGGGAATGGGAGAAGATGCTGATGAAGAAACAGATCTCACAGAAAATCCTTATGCTACTATGACAGAAGAAGAACTATATTTAGATGATCCTAAGAAAACATTAAGGGGCTGGTTTGAGAGAGAAGGATATGATCTGCAATATCAGGTTGAGGAGAAAAGAATAGGGCAGTTTTTGTGTTGGGTCGAGTAAGTACAGTTTTTTAAAATAAATTTTCAAATTTTGGAGGTTATTTGAATATATTCAGCTTTGTTGTTTTTATATGTATGTAACATACATTCTATAGAAATTAAAAAAAAATTTCAGTTTACCCAAAGAATGTTTTGGTGGTCGTTCTATGAAAGCTGAAGCTCTTGTTAAAGGAAAGAAGAAAGAAGCTGTTATTCAGTCTGCTTTAGAAGCTTGCAGGATTTTGGACAGACATGGATTATTAAGACAAGCTAATCATGGTAATATATTCTATTGTAACTATAACTATGAATCTGTAAATCTATAATTATGAAACAATTATTATGATTATATAGAGAATGACTATAATTTTACCTTTTATAATGTGATCTGGCTATTGCTTATCAGTTTTATGAAATTCAATTTCATTTATGAATGGAGATTTACTTATATAAAGTTTTTACAGTTTTAGTTACTAATAGAATATCAATTGTGTTTACAGAGAGTCGAAAAAGGAAAGCCAGAAATTGGGAGGAAGAAGATTATTACGACTCGGATGAAGACAACTTTTTGGACAGGACAGGAACAGTAGAAAGGAAACGTGAACAACGGATGAAACAAGCTGGAAAACTTGAAGAAAAAGTCGAGACATATAATACATTGGTAATTGACTTAATTTTACACACTTATGTTTAGATATTTTTATACAATATTGTATACATAAATTTTCAATAAAAAAGTATTATTTTTATATTATTTCAGATTGAAAAACATAACGAGATTGTGAATAAGATTTCACATTTGACTAATCGTCTGAAGGAGGCGCAGGCAAATAGTGCTAAAGAAAAGGAATCCAATGAGGATTCATTGGATGCCTTTATGTCTAGTTTAACTTCATTTACTTTGAGTAAAAGTGACATAACGAAGATGAAAGTGGAATTGCAAAATTTGCGTAAAGAAGAGGAGAAACTGATTAAATTAATAAATCTTGCAAAGCCGGCCAATCTGCCACCTCTTGTTAGCCAAGCACCAACAGGAGATAAGAAATACCAAACGTATCAAAGATCAAAACTTTTCATGAAAAAAAGTTCTCAACTTGAAAGAAGACGAAAACTTTTCCAGGCAAGTGTAAGTGATTAATCTGTAATTTATCGTCTTTAACATTTGAAAAATATTTCTTCTTTCTTTTTGTTTTAAAACTATAATATAATATAATTTTCCAGAACAATTCTGAAACAGCTGTAAGTAGTAACAATACTTTAGATAATGAGGAAGAAGAGGAGGAGGAGGAGGAGGAGGAGGAGGAGGAGGAGGAGGAAGAAGAAGATAATGTACAAGAAGAAGGTAACAAAGTTCGTGATATTGAAGATGTAGGTGAATCTAAATGCAAAAAATCTGTACCATTTAAAGACCCTGAGGAGAAAACACAAAATAATACTAAAAGCATCATTGAATCAATAAATACTTCAAGCACACTTTTAAGTCAAAATATGGAAAGAAGCAAACCGAGTGTTGGAGACAACAAGAAGCAAAAGGATAGAAAATCAGAGAAATCCAAAGGCATAAAAAAGCATTATGATCAAGACGTTCACTCAGATGATTACTCCACCTGGTTGCCACCACAAGACCAAACCGGTGACGGGAGAACAAGTCTCAATGACAAATATGGATACTGAATTACAGTTAACATTGCGAGAAAAGAAGATATTGTAAATATTCTTAATAAAAAATCGTGTAATTAGTTATTAAGTCTTGCAATTTTAAGTTAAAGAAACGTTGGTATTAATAACAGTCAATCCATTGAAGTTTTCAAAGGTGTGTTACAGTCATCTTCATTATCGATTAAAGATGATTTTCCTTTATATTTCGCTGAATACATGTCAGCAAGTTCCGCAAATGTAAAGTAATAATAAATTTAACGCTAACATAAGTTGATGTTAATTTGTGGCAATTTTTAATTATGCAAATATTGATTATGTGTTATTTGTCAAATCTCTTTACATAGGACGTGAACAAGGCTGCGTTCCGATATTCACTGTCAGTATTGAAAATCTATAAGATACGTGACACGAACTATGGATTTCAGTACTGAATATCGGAGTGAATATCGGAACGCAGCTAAATTTCTTCATTGGCTTGTACATAAGAAAAGGACAACAATCCCTCTTGGATTTCTCTTTCTTGGATCACTTCTTGAGTATTAGAGGGCATTCCAATATTCTTATTATTTAATGCACATCCGTAATGACAACCAAGTTGTGAGGTGCGGTTAGGTTAGTTTAGGTTAGGTTAGAATTTTTACAAATTTACACAAGTGATCGTTGGCGTATGGCAATCGCTCGAGCGTCCAAGAGCTGCGTATGATAACAGTCATAACACGCATCTAAGAGAATTGTGTCATCTAAAAGAATATGGAACAATCCGTCGACAGTTCAAATTATTTTCAAATAAGTATGTATTATTAGGTTAAATAGATAATAAAGTTTCTATCTCTGCTTCGCATTATGTGTTATTTCTTCAATATATCTATTAATAATTTATTTTATTATTATTTTATTATTATTTTAATTCCCCAAAGAGAGGAGAGCAATAAGTTCTGAAAGTAAACTACAAATTGTCTTTGTGTTTGTGATACTATATGAAGTATACTTGCGAGTGATGAATAAGGATTTTAATTACGCACTTGTATATAAATTTATTAATGTGTATATTATAAGTACTTTATATATTTACATGTATATATATATATATATTTACATGTATATATATATATTTTTTTTTTTATATGAGAAATATTAATATGTATATTTTATGTGTATTGTGTGCTATTCATGGAGCAATTGAAATATTCTTGATATTTCAGTTTGGTCTCATATAGCCTCTGTGGGATGGTACATTGTAGGGCTCTTAGCTATCACCTATTATGTATTTCCACATATCCAAGAGAAATATAGAAATTGGAAATCGGTACAAAATCAACAGAGTGATGCTGCTCATTCCAAGAGTAGGTTTAACCTAGGTTTATATTGTTCACTAGCTCTTTTAATCAAAACAAAGAATAATCCATTTATAAAATGGATGTTAACATAATTTGCTTATCTTGCATTGTTTACGTACTTAGAAACAGATCAATTATCACGGACATCAGCTAATGTAGAATTAGCGCGACAGAAACTACAAGAGACATACGACCAAAACTGCATCTTAGCAAAGCTTAAAGAAGAAGAGGTATTTCATGATTTTATTATAATAAATTAATCAATATAATAGGATGTTTTATTATTAATGTGTCTAAAGTAAACAAATATTGACATTTCTAATCCACATAATTACTGTTACTTTGAAATTCGTTGTGCAATCGATTTGAGAAGTCCATTTCTTGTTCAGGAGAAAGAAAAGAAAAGGCAAAAAGTTATAAAATTATTGGAGGGTAAAGAAGTAGGTAAAAGGCTAGGCAGTTCGTCAGATAATCAAGCACCTAGTACGAGCTCAAATTCAAAATCACTCAAATCAGGTGAAGTTTCTTGCATGTCTCTCCGAGATAAATTTAAATAACATCTAAACACATTTCACTTGCAGATTACAATCCCCTAATGGGCGATAATACCCGCGGATATCGTCCTCCGAAACGTAGCTGTTGTGGGAAAGGTGGTTGCGGTTAATTGCGTTATTATACCAGATTATACGTGAAAATTGTTATGAAAAAGACTATAACGAACAGAGCAAAAGGGAAAATAATTTAATGGATAAAATGACATTTAACGTAGAATATCTTATTTACAGAATAATGATAAATTATCAAAATATGTGCAAAATATGTTTTCTTATAAAAGCAATGAATCATACTATACCATTTTTATCAAGTGTTATTAAATAAAAGTTTCAGTAAGTTTCACTCGATAAATCAATAAATTGTCAGTATCCTCCGCCTGTTCCTTTGTACGCAAATAAAATATAGACACGTTTTAATTTCCAACATTACCTTTTATTAATTGTTATCAGTATAATATGCAATGATATATATATATCAGCATATGTCAATTTATACGTGGTACTTGACAATAGCAACTGTTACAAATTATCTACAATCGTGCGTGTAATGTCTATGTGTATGTATATGTGTAACGTGTGTTTCTCTGTAATATGTATGCCCTATCTTATATTCTTAAATTTCATCGATTTCACTCGTGCGACGACGATGAAGAGAAAAAGGAGGCGCGCACGCCGCGTTTCTCCGTAAATAAATAAATTATAAAATTAACTACAAAAATGCTCACTGCTTTTATTTATTCGCTGTATTTACAAAATATCAAAAGAATTGAAAGATTGAGCTAAATACATATGTCCGCGGGGCCCTGCACTACGTGTGTGGATGTTGTATATGTGTGTGTGTGTGTGTGTGTGTGTGTGTGTGTTAAGTGTGTTAATGTTAACGTGTGTTCCACACGTGTGCGCGGCCTGTAAAATGCGATCGAAAGTGAATAAAAGCGAGAGAGATGGAGAAAGAGAGAGAGACAAATAGAAAAAAAAACAGCTATTGTATCTCTTTTTTTCTTTCTCTCGCAGTGACTTCAATTCAAATCGCTATGTTCTTAATGATATGAATTATTTTTTTTACGAAGCCCTAGCTTTCTAACAGCCTAATTAAAACTTTTTACAATCTCGTGTTTCGCACTCCGGAGAAGTGTTTGTGCGCCTCTCGCAAGCGCATTCGCGAGATCTGCGCGGGATTAAGAACCGATCGTGTCCACACCAACATCGATTGTCGGTTTATACTTTAGATAGATTATGGCAGAATCCAGAAATTATTTTAAGACTGCTAGAGTCCCTCGCCGCGAAACTTTCGATTGATGATGTCAGAAGCGAAAAAACGTATGCCCAAAATTCTTGTGATATACGCCGAAATACATGTTCATAAACCTGGGCCTATATTCTTGAAACTTATATGTAATTTTATATATGTAATTTTCATTGTGCAGCTATTTTATGATATGATTAAACCTGCGCAGTAAAACTTACATATACGCAACTATTTCAAGAATAAGGGCCCTGATTCTTAGGATTGATTGAGCATATTTGTAAGATATCCTAAAAACTATCCTAAAAAATATGAATAATGCAAGATTTCTCTTCAGTCTATTTTTCCTCATGATTTTGTCACGTTAATTTTACGGCTATATATTGATTGTGTTACAGTAAAAGGATATTTTTTGAAATATTTTATAAATATGTTCAATCGATCACATGTCACTTTGTGGATATAATCTTTTATCTCGACGTGTTCCATAAGAATTTTGGGCGTTATGTTTTCTTGCTTCTAATATCAGTGTTTAATCAAAATAGCCGCGGCGAGGATGCAGGAACTTTAAAGAAACATTTTCTCGACGAACAGGAAGTGGGAATCGATTCTATTTCGAGGAAAATATCGCAAGCAATGTTCTATCATTTTCAATTGTTTAACCAGTAAAAAATCCTATCGAAAGAAAAACAAGATTTTACTATTATTGTTGTTCACGAAGTAGTCAGGATTCATTAAAAATCTTTGAAAGGAGAATTTGAAGTTCAGTCTATAACTACGATATTTTTCGTGGAATGTTTCGCGATCCTCGGACTCGGGCGAATTGAATTCCCGGCTAAAAGAAGATAGACATTCGTCCGCTGTTGGTGCGACTGTCCCGGTCCTGATCGCTGTGTATTCGGCAGTGTTGAAAATACCAAATTTGAAGTCCGGAGAACGTCCCTCACAGAAATAGTAAAGGTTTGGCTCGACGCCGCTACAAATATAGATTATCATAATTTCGTCTTAACGTTAATGCAGTCATTCTTCTCCTGTGCTACGTGATCCGATGTTCTACTGATAGATAGGATCGCCAGTCAGTCGGTCGATCGATCGATTGGTCGGTCGATCGATCGAGAAACGTTATACGCGCGTTTACACGAGTTCGTCTGGTTCGTTCGACGAACCTGTTAAGTGTACGTAAATGTACGCGTGTTTTTTTTCGCTCGTGTACATACGTGTAGAAAAGTGTACGTTATGTACGTGTCTCTGTGTGTGTGTGTGTGTGTGTGTGTGTGTGTGTGTGTGTGCGTGTGCCGATCGTGTGTTAGTCGTCGTTAACGCGAGCCTCGCGTTCGCAAAACCTCTTTTTTTCCTTTACCGAGTTAAACGTTACATTTTATACAAATCCCCCTTCTCTCTCTCTCTCACGTAACCATCGTAACAATAATACAAAGATGACAAATTATAAAAATAATACGTTATCTTTTCTTCGTTCCTTCGCGCATTGATACGATGGTTTGGCATGTGTCCGTTGGCGTTGAATCACGATCATTTAGGAATGAAGATACATGGTGCTTTCCGAAAGGGTCACGATTCTCTTGCCTCCGACGAGATATATACGTATATATCGTATATGTGCAATATAAACCCTTTCTCTCTCTTTCGACGCGCGACCGCATCGCGCGCGCTTCCGCCGACTCGAGTTCCCGCGCCTCGATCGAGAGTTGCGCGCGCATGCACTCGCGGATTCGCGCGGCGCAACTTCAATCCGCCGCGCGCGCGACGATTCCTCCCTTCATCGTTACGGGGATCTTTCCGTTTCGATCGTAATCGCGAGTTGCACGCGCGCGAAGAAGAGACTCTCCCCGTTCGTTTACGTGGACTCGCGCGCGCAACATCACGGGGACACGACCGTCTCTCGGGGATGAGAACGCCGCTCTTTCACTCATCTAACCCGACGCCACCATCCCGATCTGAGACTTCCTCTTCGGATCCGCTACTCGTGTACACGCATACACGGTACGACGCTGTTGGAAAGCAGATTTGCGTTTTGTTGGAATAACATGGATACACGGACTCCGTTGTGCGATGTCAGATTTCAGGTGAGTGAAAAGAGACTTTAGGAGAGGAGAGGAGAGAGACGATGGAGCGGATTGGTTAAAGCGTCAAACGCGTTAAAGACACGCGTTCTCTGGCTGCGTTCCGATATTCATTGGCAGTACCGGCAGTACCAGTTCATAGTTTGCAGAAGAAAAAAACAGTACCGACAGCACTGCAAACGCTGTTCCGATATACGCGACAGCAAACTTTCAAAGCACTTTCGTGTGACGTCGCAGATTTTGTCGTCACTACTTTCGTTACTGCGACTCGCGAGGTGAGCCCGCGAACACACAGAAGAACGTAAACAGTAAGCAAATTGACCAGCTGCAATCTATTCTTCTTACGATCCTAGAACGATCTATTGTAACAATTTTCTTATTGCTAACATTTTTACTGTTTACGTTTTTCTGTGTGCCATCCGCTTGAGGCATTCACAGTAGTTACATGGTGACGTTCTTACAAGACTTGTAGAGACAGAAGATAATCAGAGCATAAAATAAATACTTGACTCCACGATATTACGCGTACAATATTAGTGACAATTGCAGCTTTCCATGACAATTGCGTCTTTTGCTCTATTAGTGCTACATTAGTTACTAATAACATCCAAATTCAATGCAAATCTGGTTATGTACGATACCATATATCATGTTAGTTGCTGCAATACTCAAAGCTTCGTCCCGCTTTCTCTACTTCACATTGTGTCGACAGTACACTTGTGAAAACGGAACGATTGTTTCGTGTATTGTGATAACGTCATGCTTCTCCAGTACTGATAGTGAATTTCGGAACGCAGCCTCTGTCTCTATCTCCCTCTCCCTCTGAACGATTTCAACAGGGTCGCGCGAACTCGCATCAGCCGCATACTCGTACGTGATGGATACTTAGGATACGTGTTCTATCTAATTACGTTTAATGAGATGCTTCTTTTCTGGCAGTGGTGCCGCCGCAGTAGCGATACTCGACGACCCGCTCTCATTCTTTTAGCTTAAGCCTATCGAGAAGATATCCACACATACACACACATACATACGTACGCACAAACACACACACACTTTCTCTCTCTCTCTCTCTCTCTCTCTCCACCTATTCGTTTTATTTGTTTCTTCGCCTGCTTGGATGGACTTTTTATTGAATATGTGGATTTATCCGCACGCAGCCATGAGCAGGCGCGCGAATAGACTCGCATACCGATACTTACATCACTACGTCGTATATTACCTAGATAGACCTTAAGTTCAACTCTCTCAGTTAACAAATTTAATTCAATATCTCTGTTAGTTAATTACTTCTTTCTTTGTTTTCTCCGTTTGTGTTTCTTTCTCTCGGAGAAATCATCTTCTAGAGATCGCAATTTCTGTATGTGTGTTTGTGAGAGTTTGTGTGTGTATGTGTGAGCTCCTTTTACGGTATTTTACATGTAGCAGTGTGGCTTTATCGTGTTGAGCGTTCGAATGCGCGAGATAGTGTCTGTCTTATCATCCGTCGTATCCCACTTCTGTATTCAGGCAATTTGCAGTCTGGCACACGCGACTGGTAGAACTAATCGTACACATGTACATGTATATATAACAAATTTGAGCGATTTGTTGACGCGTTGAACAAGTTACAAGTTGCGTCCGTCGCGCCGTTACAATTACGCTAATCCGTTACGCTCGTTCTTACTTAATCGAGGCTCGTAACCGATCAGTAAGTTGCGCAATCATCCTCGTTGCTCGTGCGGTCACCGCGTTACGGGGGAGAAGAGATTTTCCCTGTAATGCGCTACCAGGATCCCATAAAGATATTTCTCGGTTGCGTGTATATGTAAAAAGGAAAAAGAAAACTTGGTCGATTAAACAGCGTTCCCCGAGTCGTATGTTGAACACGAATTAAACATTTTAGTTTAGTCATCAAAGTTTAGTTATCAAATACAGAATATCCGCGATGCGCGAGCGGAGAGCTCGGAGAGCGGCGAGCATTTTACAAATCTACGCGTCTAAATTTTCCCAATAATCGATTTATCGATCTTCTTTTGTATTCCTGAAGAAGTGGTCAGGCTACTCTCTAAATTCCTCGCAATGAAGTCTCACTGAAAATAAGTGAGGATTCACTCGAAGCAATAGTAAAGATATTGCGCCACTCGGAATCATAAGAGTGAATATTTAATTCGAACTCAGGAGAGATTCCGAAACCACACGGAGTGGATGTTTCGATTGATCAGAGTGAATTTGTTCCAGCATGACGGTGAAGTAAAATTCACTCTTCAATTTCAAATAAAAATATTCACTCGATGAATCCGAAATGAAGAATTTACTCTGCACGAGTGAAAAATCACTCGAATTCGAGTGACTTGGTTGTCACTCCACTGTTCGAGTGCAATTTCATTCGAAAAAAATTTAGAGAGTACATCTAGACCCGTCTATTGGAGATCGGATCGCGAGAGGAACGCTGGTCCGTATCAGCCGTAAACGCGATGTCGCAAATATCGCGAGGGATGTTGTGATACTACTAATATAATATTGGTATCGATATTTTTCTTTCAATAGCAGAGATATTTTTGTATCGATATTTTCTTTCAATATTCGCACCTATATCAGTATTGCTTCGTTTCAATATCTTTTTTTTTTCGAGAAATCACATGCCAGAAATTATTATAGTATACATGGAAACAATATATGCGCAAAACGACATTCGTGATCGATTCAGTACACTTGTAAAAATATTCTGACGCTTTTCTTTTATTTCAACACTCAATAAATAGAAAATTAGTGTAACAGGCAACTTATGTTTTAAATCCATCTTATGATTTTTGTTAAGTAAATTTTTCTGCAGTTATTTATTGATTGCTGTAGTAAAAAGCGGACATCTTTACAAGTGTGCGAAGAGGAGTAGGATAGGAAATAACTAGAATAAGAGGCGAAAAGAAAAAGAAAGAAGTGGTGTAGGAAAAAATGTAAAAAAATAAGGTTAAAGTAAAACTAAGAACTTCCTAGCATTGTAAGCTGAAGTAAAAATAAAGAGATACGATACAAATGTGCGAAGTCGATCAAGAGTGTCATTTTATGCGTATATTGTTTTATTTCCATGTGTGCCGTAACAATTTTTGGCGTACGATTTCTCGTTTCTGACGTCATCGAATCAAGACAGTCATTAAGACAGCGAGGAACTTTATAATAAGATTATTATTCGTAAACGTAACATTTAAAAGAGTAGCTTGCAAAACCAACACTTCCCTGATTTTTATATTTTCTTTAATTTTAAGTTTTTTTGCGTTCCGATATCGATATTTTTGTTCTGATATTGATAATACTAATGATATCGATAATCTTGATCTGAATCTCTCGTTTCAATATGAATATTGATACTCTCATGGTATCGCAACATCCCTAATAGCGAACAGACGCGACCATAGACACACGCCGTCTCTCTCCTATTAAAAATGTGCGTTTCAAAGGAGAGAAAGACGAGGGACGATGATAAGAATTCGCGGCTTCTTATGTGGTACGCAATTTTTTTTTTTCATTCTTCGACGCATACTTTCGATACGTTGGTGGATCTCGAGTACAAAGATACTTTGTTGTCCGCGGCTCTTTGACGGTTAAAGCTCGGCGACTCGCAAAGTCAAACAACGAACGTAAAGTGAGGAAAATATTGCGAGGGTTTAAGTATCGCTTCGCAAATACGAATCGCTGCGGTGCGCGTTGTCGCTCTTCTACTATTCTAAAGTTTACTTCAATAAGCTGTCTTTTCTATACGGCGAGTGAACAAAGTGTCAACGGTGTCGCTGACAGTTTGGCAGCAGATTCGCTCGGAATATCACGGCATCGGCTGTGTTAAATTCGCGGATTCCTACAGCGGATTGGTGCGCGCGCAAGCAGAGTTCGCCGTATATTCTGTTTAAACGCTCACGAAACGGCCGGATCCTGCTCGCAGCTGCACTCCGTTCTTGTTACGTTTCCGCTGGCGCGCTGCCAACAAAACTGCACGCGACACTTTGCAAAATCTGCGGAGACAGATCTGGCTGTCCAGGCTGTGTATTCGTCTTGTGTGAAATAACAGGTCCTCCCTCCTTTTATCCTCACTGAAAATGCTAGCTTGAACAATAGTGATTGAACACCGACGACAAAAAACATCCGACACTAAGATAAAAATTTGTATAATTTATTGCGTAGTGCATATGCCATATTATATAAATTCTTTCACGATGCGTCTCGATATTGTATAATTCCTGTTGCACAAGAACGAATTTAGACCGCGACGATGGCGACGGAAATGTCCGATAAAATCGGAGAATCAGGTACGCGCGTTCGAGAACAACGTTCTTTTTATATCCGGCAGTATCGTTGACAGCTTCGAAGCGCACATTTTTCCTTCGACGACAAAACATTCTTTCACTCGCGTATCAGTTTGTGCAATTAATGGAGTACACGTGAGATATCTTGTTACTTTATCTTTCTCTCTCTCTCTCTCTCTTTCCCTCTCGCTTACGTAATACGAGTTCGATTGATACAGCGTATAAATTAATAACTAATGACTAATCTCATTAGAGTAACTTTGTACAATTTATACAGGGATCGCATAAGTGATATGATAATAATAATTATATACATATATATACATATATATGTGTACATGTATATATGTATATATATATACACATATGTATATTTCGCGTTTATTGTTGCTTCGTTTCGTTTAACGTATTACTACGTGCGCGTTCGTCTTGGAAGAATTATACGTCACCGTTTGTAGAAATTAGCCCTCGGCCGCCTTAGGATTTAGGAACGTTATATCCAAAATAATATATGCTCCATTTGTCGTGGCCAGAATGTACAGGCAGTCGAAAATAAATGCCACACTTTACAACGGTGAAGGTCGGTCGCGCCGTCGAGCGCGAATTGTCTCTCATCGTGCGCGATGTATCAGTCCTTTCGCCACGACGGTTACCATCTGCTCGGGCATCCATTGATTACCAGAAGGGCAACAATAATCACCTAATCCCTAATCATTAGAAACAACGAAGTAATCGTCCGCCAGAGCAAAAGGTCTGTTTGCATTTGGCGTAAAATGTAAAATCATTCTATTAAAATCAATTGAAGCTATTTTTTATTCAAACTGTCGGCCTTCTAACGTAAATGGGAGACACTACAATGTGTACGGAATCGAACGAGCTCGTTTAGCGCCAGCACGGCTCTAAGCTGCTCGCTGTATTTTGCTGGTCGCGAGGTTACTTTTTGGCCTTACAACCGAACAGCGATGTGTGTCGGGGGACTTTTCGGCCAGAAACCTATATCGTAAGCCGTCGTAACGAAAGGATTATCTCTCGCGTCGGCGAATTGCGACGAGTTCTATTTGCCTAATCCATACAGGCGGCTTGCGCGACACGAGTCCTTTGTTCGCGCCCGAGAGCGCACCTAGTCCGTTATTCACGGGAACCTGTGTGTATTCTCCATCTCTCTCTCTTTCCATTTGTGCTATCGCCGTGTCAAAAAGTCTTTGAAACATCCACGTGCGACACTCGTGTCCTTAAATATTTAAATCCCACAGCGGCTGCGCGCGAGGACCTTCGACGCCGCCGTCGCCGCCACCGTCGATCATCGTCGTCGTCATCAGGTGCCTGTCTGCACCTCGAGCTGAAACTAGGCGATCGTTTTCAAAAGAGCGTACGCGAGAAATAACTTAATTAGACCTAGCCTTAGAGTACCCTTACTCAATGCGCGCATGATATCAGCGGGAATGGCAGTATATAATATGGCAGTCGAGAGAGCGTACGAACGATATAAATCGAAACGATTACGTTACGATACGTGCACACACATACCCTCCTCGGCGTAGCCGCTTGGGAATTTCGACTCCTCGCCACTCGCGAGGGATATATTTAAGGGGCGATAGAGCCAAATCGTGCTCGCGATTTCTCGCGAGGAACTTCACCGGCTTCCTCCTTCCTTTGCTCTCCCCTTCCTACGTCCTCTGCAATATTGCTCGATAGTTAGGATCGCGTCTCACTCGCTTCTCGCCGACGTAAATTAGAAAGTAAAGAATGCACAACGCAAAAGAGACTAAGCAAGCGTCCGATGATATAACGATAATCAGTCTATTTGGCAGAAGTTCGCTCGAAGAAAAAATTAATACTACACGCGCGCTGCTGCTGCCGTCGCTTCCTCGCGATCCTTTTTTCTTGAAAGCCCTTATCCGAGTTACCGAGTGTGTCAAAAGACTCGATCGAGTGCGTCTCGCGTGTATTTATATACATATATATTTATGTATAACGGAGAGGGGCGGGGGGGTCCATCGGCCGTAGCCGTTAAAGCGCTATCGTTATCGCTATTGCGCGCGCAGACATCGACCGCGAGGCAACGTGTCCTCGCGTCGAAGTCTCTCTCTCTCTCTTTCTCTCTCTCTCCTCTTCTCATGTGTCGAAGTTGTGGTCCTTCCCCGCGGCAAGAGACCGTTATTGCGCATCATACGAACACAAAAATTAGGCTGTACACTCCTCGGAGCTTAAGCTCTTATCTCAACCGTGATCGGCTAAGCGTAAGCGCTCGCTCTATTTCTCTCTCTTTTTCTTTCTTTCTGTCTCTTTCAGTCATCGAATATCCCGCGTGTGTCTCGCGAGACTTATCAACATCCTTACTTAATATTACGTTAAAGCGGCTATTCGAGACGCGAGATTCGTTTCTTCAAACGTTCTTGTTTCGCATTACGACGGGGCAATTATTATGATCGATCCGCCTCGCGAGTTCGATTGTTATCAATGAGCGCACTGCGTACATTTAATCAACGAATCAGATCGCGATGCTTGTACGTGTCCACGGTACAACTTTTACGGGCTCCGCTCGACTACGTGTATAAGAGTAAACAGTCGAGCCGTACTCGCGACCGCGACATTGCTGATTGCGAAACGGCCTCCTCATCCCCGAGATTGAGCCCGAGCGTGATTGTGATCGTTCGTTGTGATCGAAGGCCGTTCGTTCAGGCACAAGTCCCTTCCTTCTTCTTCTTCTTCTTCTTTCACTTCTTCCTTTTTCTTCCTCTGTACTTACTACGTCCGGAAAATTTAGCTTTCACCACGGTGATCACCCAGTCGACTAGTCTCCGTCGGAGCGTTTGGATTATTGCCACTTAGAAAGATACTATTTAGCTTATTGTATCGCTGACTGCCTGTACTGCTCATCGTGTTGGAGGCCGAGGAATTGTGCTGGGTGTAACCAGCCGTCCTTGAGAAACCGGGCAGTTTGTCTGGAAAAGAAACAATAGAACGCGCGTTAATAGTGTCGTCAATGTGTTCCAACGCTTTGCTAAGTGGGGACTTTTACATTCGGCAATTTGCATAGGCCGCTAATAAGATCAGGAAAGAACGTGTAAGAACTTGTAAAATTCTTACCGTTACAAGATAAGATACCTTTTTTCAGTGATAACTTGATAACGATGCCATTTTATTTTTTTCTCGTTAGTAACGGCCACTTACGCTATTTTATTTATATTTTTTTAGTAACGGGATTTTCTAACTGATGGCAACAAATATAATAGTTATTTTGCACATGTAAATACAGATACATGAAATTGGTGGCAGCGAATCATAAAAAGAAAATATGATCTTTGAAACTCGATAAAAAAAATAACGAAAATTGTAACGATTCGTTACAATTTTTGAATAACAATAACAAGTAACTTTATAACGATAACTTCGATGAATTATTTCTTTTATTCCACAAATTATTTCAAAATGTATAGCTGCAACGATAACCTGAGTTACTTAAAAAAAAAAAAAAAAAAAAACTTAATCCCCTGGTCATTAGACAATCTTATTTTTTTCCTCTCTCTTGATTACCTTCTCTTTTTATACAGGATAATTACCTTTACTACGATTATGCCTCAGTCTCTCCTGCGAGTTTGTGCTCCCGCATTGCTTCTGAGGGATGCAGGAGTAGTTGCTATCGCTACTGTACGTGGGCGAGGACGTTCTGTTTCTTCTTCGCGGGCTCCTGTTGCTCCTACTGCGGGAGCCCGTTCTGCTGCCAGCACCACTGTGGCCGCACGCAGTGCCGAACTGCGCATTGTTGTACTCCATCGTGTCGGCGTACAGGCAACTCGACTCCGAGCACGAGCAGCACGCGTCCGAGTGCGTGTTGGAGTCGCAGGACTTCCTGTCCCACTCGTCGTTCTCGGGTTGATAAAGATTGTCGTTGTGAAACATTTCGTCCTTGTGCCGGTACAGGTCATCGTTCACCGCCGACGAGGTCAGATGTGGCTGGCTAGAGCGCACGAATCCGGCCTCGTGGGCGCCGTAGTCGTCGGGTAGGCCGTTCTGGTGACCGTAGATGACCGAACCGCTCTCGTACTCGTTCTCTTGACTCTTGTAATCGTAATGATTGTAACCCTGCGGGAACGAGGGTAACGGTGGCGGATTCGTCTGCGGTGGTAACGTCGTGTATCTGCCTTGCTGAACCGAGAGGTTGCCACCCGGCACCTGGAGGGCGCCTGGTTCGTATTGGCCTTGCCCGTTCCAAGGTGTGGGTGACGGACTGAAGCTGTTGGTCACTCTGATAGGCGGAGTAGGCGGACTCTGCGAGTTCCCCGAGCCGGAGCCGGATCCGCAATGATCCAAATCGTTCTGAATGCTTCTCTTACCGAGATGCGGACTGAACGGCACTTGTTGCTGCTGCTGCTGCTGCTGCTGTTGCGAATGCTGATGCTGATGCATCCGGCCGACCATCGAGCCACTGAGCGGGGGCGGGTGTTCAGGCGGCGGGGGCAACATGTCGCACCAGTTGGGCATACCGGTTTGCGAGGGCGCGTCGCCGCTCGCGCCGGCTATTCTATATTGCCGCCTTTGCACGTCCGCGTTCTCGTCCGTGTAGGCGCCGCCGCTCATGTTGTCGCTGCTGGGCGACACCGTGGACTTGTTGTTGGGCTCTTGATTCGAGTCCAAGCTCGAGTAGTCCGGCTTCAGACACGAGTCGCTGGAGTTGGACTTCTGACCGCTAGTTTCGATCGAGTCGGGACTACGGCTGCCTACGCACAGAGTCGTGGTGGCGTATGGCTCTGGGGGTGGTGCCTGCATCTGCTTGCGCGTGTTATAGAACGTCGTGAGATTCACTTCAGCATACTCCGATCCGGTCATACCCATTATACCGGCAGCCAACATGTGCTGATTGCTGAGCAGCTTAGTCTCACAGTCCTTATCGGTGGTGCCCTGAAGGGTATTATTAGTAGGTCTCCAGCCGCGCTCCAGCCACAGGGTGTCTTTATTCAATTGACAAATGTCATTCGCCGTACCCACGGGTACGTTTAAGTGGCCTAGTTGTTTGCTCATCGCTTGTCTGCGTCTGACGTATACGGCGGCCAGCAGCACGGCGATAACAGTGAACACCATTGTTATCATCAACACCAAAAACCATGTCTCTCGTACGACCGAGGCGTCCCCGTGGCTAGGGTCGGTGCGAGGTGGTAATTGCGTCAACTGTCCTGGGTCCATGTTCAGTAATGTCGGACTGGAAAAAGGACCGAGTCCAATGCGCGTCAGTCCAGCTACGCGCGCCGTGTACAGTCCGCCGGTGTTCAAGCTGTTGATGATCACCGACGTGGTAGACGCGTTCAGGGACATTTGGCCCAGGATCTTGTTGCTGCTGTTGCTCTTGATCTGAATCTGCGGGGTGATGTTTCGACACGGATATTGAGGCATGAACATTAAGGAATGGGTATTAAGCGTTCTCTCGCGCGCGAGCTCCGCAGCGATTCTTACCTTGTAACCAATCAATTGGCCGTTCTGAGTGTTCTTCGGCGGCGGTGACCACCGAACGTACGCCGAGGTCATGTTTATCATGCCCACGTGGACGTTCTCGGGAGCGCCCGAAGGCACGTCCTCCAGCGTGGTGACCAGTTTCACGTTGCTGGGCCGGCCCTCGATTATTTTATAGAAGGGAACGAGAAAGAACTCGTAACGCGTGTACTTTCTCAGGCTGGTCAGCACGTAACTGGTGGCGCCGGCGTTGAGCACCGTGACCATCTGATATTCCGGTTTCTCGGATACCTCACGATACCGTATATAAAGACCTTCCACTAGATCCGCCGCGCCGAGAATCTAAAATGCAAATTCCGCATAAGTTACTCGTCAGGACGTCGCGAATGTCGCGCTTTCGTTCTCAGCGATTGTTACGCGGCCTCCTTTCTCTTAAAGAAATTCAACAAAAGCAATTCGTCATTTTTACCATTCGCGCTTCTTAATTTCAATATTAATCTATATTAATCGCTATATTAATCTAATGTTAACACGTTGAATGCCGCGACAATCGCCGGTAACCGACGCTATGATACTATCATAAGTCTCACTAAGTTACGTATAAAGTACAATCAATCGCAACTTTGGAAAGTTGGTTGTACGGCTAATAGAGAGTCGATAAAACGATTTAAGATGCGTGTATGTGCGTATATATATTATACGTATAGGTATCTTGAATTCAATTTATTTATCGTATCTTCGATAATCCAATCATCAGTTAAGTTTCTCTAGATAATACATGGCAGTCAATATGTCAAGGGAATTGAACGGAAATCTGTAATTATCGCGCGCCGGTTACTCCGTTTCTGATATTAAATATAGCAGCGCGCTGGATCTAAAGGTAAAATAAGATGTAAGTGGCCGGATAAGCTATCGAATTTTAGCATAGCTAAAATACATAACCTTGTCCGAAAATAGTATAATAAAGTCTATTTATATTCTCAGAATTTTATCTGCCATTTGCAAGCAGTATTTCTGCGCGACAACAGGTGCCGATCGACACTTACGTCCCACATGATCTTCACGCTCGTGCTGCTCAGCGGTTGCACCTCTTTGAGATGTAAAATCTCGCTGTTTAGCCGATCTCTAGTGCGAGTCAGTTCCACTTGCGGTACCGTATGCTGATTTACGTTAGTAGTTTGCACCACGTCAGACAGCGGCCCGGGTAGCGAGAGCCCGTGGCTATTTTCCGCTCGTACTAGGAAGACGTAATTGGTCTCCGGCCTTAAATCTGTCACCTGTTGGCGGATAAAGGATATATATATATATATATGCGAGTTCAATGAGCGTTCTAGCTGCGTAAACAGAACCGTGAAAGCGATCACGGCCAAAAACTCAACGTGGTTGATTTTCCTCTTTCTCTTGGGATCTCAGATTCACTTACTACTTGTTATTTAGGACATCAGCGTATAATTCGATCTTATATTTAAGATTGTACTAAGCTCACTTTAGGATGCTGTAATGTCTGTTTCATTGGCTAGAAAATATCTTAAAGTAAAAACTTAAAATATTTATTAAAATTAAAATTTTAAATATAAGACTAAATAAATAAATATAAGATAAATGTAGGATATATATTATAATAAATAAATAAATAAATATATATATATATATATATATTTATAAAACTAAAATTAAATCTTAAATATAAGTTTATACTGTGAATACCGTTCTTCAAATAATTTTCGAATCGTCTAAGTAGGGGAATAGATAATTGGTATTCATAGTCAATGGAAGAAACACTTGTTGTGCATCACTTTCGCCTGGATAAACTTCAGGGAATTCAGTATCTGAACATTTATTTTCCAAGAATTACAGAAAAAAATTCTGCCATTGAATACTGAGTGTGTTCTGAAGTTTATCGTGATAAAAGCGTTGAAACTTTCCTACCGTTCGCGATGTTTTAATTAACGAACGCCGTAAAATGTCACAAACTGTCTTCACCGGTCGCGGATCTCCTCTCTCTGAAACACACTTTCCAAGCTGGCATACACTGCCGCGAGGAAAACGGAAAATATCGTCTCGTAGAGAGGTTGTTGAAACTCGACGCGGGACATACACAGGTATATCGAAAAAGAGGGTCAACAAGCATAGCATAGCATCGCGTCGCGTCGCGTCGCGTCGCCGTTTCCAACACACACCACTCACCGTATAGACGTCGTCGAGAACACCAGTGGCCGCCACCACCCAGCCGGTGTTCAGGTTGCTGCTGTAGTACTCGACGTTGTAGCCGATGATCTTACTCTGACCCTCGTGACCCGGGCTCCACGTGAGGGTGACGGAATTGCTGGTGGCGTTCACTATCCGCGGCTTGCTCGGATTCTGCGGCAGGGCCGATATGTCGGGCGTCCTGTGGAAGCTCGCACCGGCACTCACCGTCAGGTACGCCGACCAGGACGTATTGCCGGACTCCGAGGAGGCGATGCAGGTGTACAGTCCGGAGTCGTTGGAGCGCAGGTCGTCGATAAACAGAGTGCCGTTGATGGCCATTGTGATACGGCCGCCGGGCCGGACGAGCACGCCTTCCTTGTGCCAGTGAACCCGCGGCGTGGGTGTACCGACCGCGCGGCACGGCAACGAGGCGACGCTCTTCAGCGGCAGAGTCTGGTTCGCGGGCCCCAGCTCGATTATGGGCGGCGGTGTCTCCTCCACGGACGTCACCTATATTTCGTTGACACGACGGTGTTCCTCTTTACTCGGGATATTGGATCTACTGTGCGCACACTAGGCACTCGGCCGTAGCTCTGGCCAAGTGCCACTGGATGCCTCTAAACGTTATCTCTACGATTGTAGACTCTTGGATCGATACGTGGAATCTCGGAAAGGTCTACTTTGGGCGCGACTTCGCGCTTCAAGTGGGTTCATTGAAGAGGCGTTGGTTTTGTCGGAAAAAAAAAGAACGGGACAGTGTCGAGTGACGCAGGCCGTTCGTGTTGGTAGTCGTTAAGGTAAAGGTACCAATGCCCGGACACGCACCCGACCCGGGATATTTTTATTGTTTTAGTCTTCAAATAGGGATATTTAAACTTTCAACATAAACAAATATATGTACATATATTAAATATATACATATATTCTATGTTCGAAGTTTAAATACTCATATTTTCAAGACCAGAACAATAAGAATATCCAGAACTAAATACGTAAATTGGTACTTTATTTGAACCTTGTCTCAAGTGAGATACTCAGATTTGTATTTAGAATTAAATGGGACTTTTTTTTCAGCAGAGTAGCGATTACAGATTTAATACATGTATTATGTACAGAATTTTATTAAAAAAAACTCTGACCTTTAACTTTAAATTCAGATTTGAGATCAGTATTAATAGTCGTCATTTCAGAATTGTTTCAATTGAGATATTCAATTGAGAACTTAATTTAGAATTAGAAATATCAGGTTTTTAGTCGAGTCGCAATGTCACGAATATAACGTCACATGTGTCATATGACTCGACTAGAAAATCCGGATCTAATTCTAGATTGGAATCTTAATGGGACAAGTTTCAAATGATGACTATTAATACGGGACCCATACGCTCCACGATCGAATTTGTGGTTTTTTCCCCAACGATCTCCAGCCCATATTAATCTCACGTTTTAATATCCACAATATTGGCGGCAAGTTGATCGGCGAGCTTGCGATACTCGACCGCTGAATTAAGCGAATATTGCCTCTACCAACTTCACTCGCAATATGTAATCCGGAAGTACTTTTCTATAATGTATTACATCTTTCAACTTTGGCCAGCTCCGCCGGCAACGAAGTTACGGAGTTCTATCCGCTAAAGTTGATCGTTGTAACACTCCCTATGTGTAGACAGGGATTTTATTCGAAATCTGGGGCAACTCTGCCCTCGGGCACCGCGATACCAGCAACGATGCACCAACGGCCGGGACGGTAATTCTGCACTCGTCCGGAAGAGATCCGACGGCGGGGGAAAACCATATAAATATGTATCGCGAAAAGGAACCGCTTAATGTATGCACGCTCGTACCTCGCACCAACAGATTTATCTTAGCTCTGTGTCCTTCCGCATCATAAACACGGCCGTTTACCGTGCGAACGTTTTCATTGTTTTCGCGTGCTATATGAGTGACAAACGAGCGCAATGCGTGAACCACCAATTACTATTCAGTTTATACTATTATAATCATAATTGTCGATTAAGTTCGTAATTAACATCGAGACAACAAAGATAAGAGGCATAATTATTATTAATTTGCAGAGGATATCGATACCACAGCATTAATTTCGTATATTTGAAGTAATTCTAAGAAATAAGGAGCAAAAGCGCGCGCGCGCGAGCGAAAGAGATCTTAAGGTAACACTATCAGTTCTTGCAAAAGAATGTCACCAAGTCACACTATGTCCTTTTAATCCATAAATAAGAATAATGAAAGTTTTGGCAAAAATATTTTCTTTTGAATTCTAAAGTTTCGGGATTATAATATCCAAATGCTCATTGTATAATATCGTAATTATTTGATCTGTTAAAGTAAACATTTTTTAACTCTATCGAGACTCAAAGTAAAGAATAATGAATTGCTCATAAAATTAAACTACTTATGAAATATAAGGATAAATAAGCTAATATAGTTCTGTGGTGTTAAAACGAAATATAAATTCAACGTGTCGAGAGACTCTATTAAAAATTTATTACATGAGATAGATGTTCGTGTACTGATATACTCTCTTTGTAAAATATTTCGCTAATGAAACACTCATTGTATGCAAGCTGATATTCAATTAATTTATTTCTGCTATGAAAAAATTACCTGGCCTTTAATTTATATGTTAATTTACGTGTCAATTGCAGGCAAAAAGATTCTCTTTGTAACTGAATTTTATGTAACATTCTCTCGTGATGCCTCTCTCTCTTTCTCTCGATCATTCGAGAAATCGGTGCGCTTAATGACTAAAATCAGAATGAATAATCGCGGAAGAAAGACACAGAAATTGCTGATTCGAGCGCGCGCACCTCGAGCGGTCTGAATTGGTGTGAGAGACGTATATTACGAGGCATGTACCTGAAGAAATACGGTCGCGGTGCTGGCACCGGCTTGACTAATGGCGCTGCACACGTAGTGGCCTTCGTCTTTCCTGACGGCGCCCTTGATACTCAGGCTTCCGTCTTCCGTGACGGTGTAGTGGCTTTGATACGTGTTGCCGGGGAACATTAGCTCCTGAGAGCCCTCCCGGGTCCAAAATATCGACGGCTTCGGGACGCCGCGCGCCGCGCACGAGATGGTGACATCAGTGCCGGCGCTCACCGTCTCGTCCTTGGGGAAGTTGGTGAATACTGGTTTCGCTGTGACAAACGGACCGAATTCGATACATACAGCTCGACGTATGTCCGCCTATCGTCGTATTTCCGCCGCACGATCGTCAATAGAAACACGCCCCCAGTTTGACTTTTCTCGATCGTTGTTTTCCCCCTCAACGAAGCAGGCTGCTGAGGCCGACGGACTCTGTTCGATCGTTTAATAACGAATGCTCTAGGGACTCTATTGCTAATATAATTTTATACGAATTTATTTTAATTTCGCTAGTGCGCGAAAGCGATGGGTGTGTGTTAAGCTGACGCGATGGTCATTAAGAAGACATATCGTACCAGTTTAATCCGTAATTAATGCTATCGTTTACACGTATCGCCGAAATAATAGGAATTTAATACAAAATTACTAGTCGATACATACAGCTATTCGCATTGAACGTATTAATTTGCCGGTATAAACAAAGCGATAGTTTTCGATAGCTCGTGCGTGAGTCCGCCGCGTTGCGAAATTCATCCCTTCGACCGCAACAAATTCGCGCAAAGTCCGAGCCGTTTCATTCGCGATTCCGCGCGCCCATCTCGCGCGGTCGATATCTTGTCCCACGCTTCTTCGGGACTCAAAGAGGCTCGACGACACGTTCGAGGGTTTTCCGGTCCGCCGATCGGAGCGGGACGCGAAAGTCGACAACAGCCGACGAACGCGGCAGATTCGGTGCTGAATACGCGACGATAATAACGCGTTCGTCTCGCGTCTCTTCCCCCTTCGACAGCCCTCTCTCTCACTAAGCGTCGTAGTAAGCGCACCGAGCGAGCGCGTAATTAATTTCACGGTCGAGCGGTCGCTGTTCAACGCAGGAGGAAGAGAAGGTGGGAGAGAGACAGACAGAGAAATAGAGATAGACAGATAGATAGAGAAAGAGGGAGATTAGTTGCTCACAATGCACGGTAAGAGTGGCGCTCGCTGATATGATGCCGACGCTGTTCTCAGCCTGGCAGATGTACGTGCCGTAATCTTGGGGATTCACCCGTTCGATGCGTAGACTCTTGTCGTCCAGGATGTGCCCCCGACCTATGGGCATCTTGCCGTCGCTCCGCCGCCATAGGATCTCCGGTGGTGGGTCGCCGCCCACCCTGCAGGCGAATTCCGCCGTCTGATCCGTGAGGATCGTCTGGTTCGACGGTGTGGTTAAGAAGTACGGCTTCACTGCAAGACAGAGCGAGGATTTGGCGGAGCTTCGATATCACGGAACGCCGCGGCGGCGGTGGCGTCTCCTTCTGAGCTCTCTCTCCCGTCTTTTTGCCTGCGGCTTTTCATCGAATCTCCAAACATACACTCCTCCATACACACACACACACACACACACACACATACACGATGCCACCACCGTGACCCTTCAATTACTATCGATTTAAGGTGTCGCGCGAGCACTGTGGTGGAGTATTGTGTGTATTGTGTATTGAGGTACTGCAAAGGGTATTGTGTACTTGCAAAAGTTTATAGGATAGCCAGTGATTTCGTGGACTTTCGAAAGAAAGTCACGCGCAATTGAATAATTGGCTGGAAAACGACGAAAATTGGTGGACGACGCCGGCAGATACATTTTGATCAAATATAGCATGTATCTTGAGAAAAAAAGACTTACTGTTTGTGAGTATAAGCCGTATTAATAGCCGTGCTGGGAATTTGTCTTAAGCAAAATATTCAGGTTTGAACTTAGAATTAAATGTGAGTTTTTCAGTTAAGTTGCGGTTATAAAAGTCCCGTATGATCCAAGTAAAAAACTCAAATTTAATTCTAAATTCAGACGTGAGTATTTCATATGAGCCAAGTTTCAAATAACAGCTATTAATACGGGTCCATATCCCGACAGACCGAGGTATATAAATTTTCTAGCAACTTTAAAATATACTAAATCACGAAATTCAGCAACGTTGAGTCGCTGACTTATATTTACCATATAGAATGATAAAAAATGGAAATAACGAAAAACACGAAAAAAATTCTCGAAATTTACCCCTGACAGTATGTTATGTTGGATGACATATGAAAATCTGAGGGCAACTTTTAGTAAATTTGTTCCTACATCAATACAACAGCGAATTTAATGTATGCAAATTTAATAATTAATTCAATACAGTATATTTACTTCATAAATGTAATTAAAGAAGTTGTAAAGCTTCCGTTATTAGTTGTTTCATGTTGTAATAATCATGAAAGTTTATTAGAGTAATTGAATAATGAAATATATAGAATAATAGAGAAGCCATTAAAAAAAAAAGAAAAGTAATAAACGACATAGTGTTGCTGATAATCTCGCATATATGCATATTACTACCATATACTACTACTACTTTTTTTTATATCTGTTATAATCTGTAATTTAAGTCAATGTTTTTTTCTTTCTCTTATTGTACTGTTTCGTTATTATTGATAAAAGAGATATGACCAAAAGTCCGAGCAACTTTGCAAGCTTTTGATACACATCTTTATATGTGAATGTGTGGCAAGTAAGCACGCGGACAAATTTCACGTCGTTGCGGCGCGTTGTGGAAAATGGCTACGTTCGCGATGCGCGAGCGTTTCGGTGACAACTTATGGCTCTTACCGTGAACCGTGAGAGTCGCTATCGCGGACTCCTTGGCGCCGACCATATTCTCGGCGATGCACTGGTATTTGCCCTGATCGGCTTGCTTCACGTCGGATATCATCAGGTTGCCCCCGTCCACAAGAGTTATCCTGAAACGCCCGATGAACGATTAATCAAGATGCGAGACGTTTTCCATTCGATAAGGGCGGCGACTAAAATTACGACGATTAATTTCCGCTCGCCTACTACAAGCACGACGGCACCGCGAGCGCCATGAAGAGAGGCACCCCCGATGGAGGAGATTTGCCGTAACGATTTCGGGGTATACATTCCGTCTATTGTGCGGCGTTGTTATTATCATTATTATTATTGCACCGTTTACTATATCATGATTTTATAAATAACTGTTATATTATAACTGTTATATTAAATTAGCGCGCACGCTTATTGCGAAACGCTTATTGCGCATAAACAATCCATTCTGACCGCCACGTACATAATGTATCGTTACACGTTAATCTTTACGCGTATCTGAATCTAATATCTCTCTCGTAAATAAATGATGACTGAATATACGCGCACGGCCGGGCGAAATCGGCGGGATTTTTTGTGAAAAATTACCGCTCAGTCCGGGAACAAATTTATCGTTTATAACACATTGAATGTCGCGGTGGTCACCCGATGGCGCGTTTTTGTTTGAACTAGGAAACGATATAGTCGGCGCCGAGCATGACTATAATCTATAGCGAGATTAACCCGTTTTACCTCAATGCAATGAAACGAGATGGAAGAGACCATTTTCAATTATATTTCTTTATCGTATCTTAGGTAATTCGATCGTCAGTTGTCCTCATTCTTTTTTTTGTACAATCGATAAAAATTAAGGAGACAGTCAACGCGATAATAATACATCATTCTCCAAGATATCCAGCGGTTTTATTGCACAAAGAGAAACAAAATTATTAAAAATTATTAAGGCTCCTCACCGCGACTACTTTAATTAATGTTAGAAAGGAGAAAACGTATGTCTAAAATTCTTACGAAGTAAACTGAAATAAAAAGATATGTTCACAAAGTAACACTTAGAATCGAATAAGTACACATTTGTAAAATATTCCAAAGACTTTCCATTCGTTTTAATAAATAAATAACCATGAATAAATAACAGTAAAATTAACTCGACATGTACTTTTTATTTTTGACTTTTCCTCATAATTTTGTCACGTTAATTTTATTTATTATATAGTAAAATTTATTTTTACTATATTTTTATTTATTATATTTTTATTTTTATTTATTATATAGTAAAATATTTATTATATAGTAAAAGTATGAGAAGAGCTTTCGGAATGTTCTATAAACGCGCTCGATCGATCCCAAGGGTCACTTTATGAACATGTTCTCTTTCTTTTATTTTGCAAGAATTTTATTTTAGAATGCATTTTCTCGTTTCTGATGTTGTCGATCGAGAGTTTCGCGGCGAGGAGCCAGGAGATCCTTAATCTCTCTACAAGTTATGATCATTTTCGGCGCCAATGCGCGCGTTCGGCCGAGAAAGCTGCTTTGCAACTGTTGTGAATCCAATTGGCGTGTGCTCTTGATTTTGGCTGAATTTATGAGAGCATACACCGACCGGGTTCACAAACTTCACAGCAGTTGCAAAGCAGCCGTTTTTCTCTGCTGAACGCAGCCAATGATATATCTTCCTCTTGTTCCAATAAGAAAGTGACAATGTGCGCATGAAGTTGTCGTCACAGCGACCCTCGCTTCACAGGAGCGCGAAGAAACGACTTTCGGCAAGCCCGGCAAGACGCGTTTGCGCGCGCCCGCCTATCCGATATTATTATATTTATGCGCGGGCGTAAGGCGAGCAAATGTATTCAAGGCTGCGTACTTGACATTCCAACCGCCACTTCTCTCCCACTTCCCCCTGTCATTCTCCACGCCACCTCGGCGCCCCCGAGATTAAACGGCCGTCTCACCGGGGGTGTACGCACATATCTCGCATATGGAGAGCATTCGCGACGACGCGCCGCGCCGCACTATCGATCGATAGCTCTCGATCGTGGTCTCTAATTTATAGTGTCAATTAATTTTCGCGCCGGTGGTGTTCGATTACCTCCCTCCTCTCCCCTTGTCCTCCCTCTCCTCTCACTGCGGTTCTCTCCGTTCTTCCGTCGTTCTCCCTGCCCTCCGTTTTACCTCGTTCCGCGCTTCGAAGAGAGGAGAGGAGAGGAGAGGAGAGGAGAGGAGAAGAGCGAAGCGCGGTCTCGGCGTTCCGATACGGCCGGATTTAATTCCTATCGGTTGTCCTAATTTATCGCGGCTTCGGGGTTCTATCGGTAAATCCGGAAGAGAGGTGGAGAGGAGGAGGAGGAGGAGGAGAAAGAGGAATCGGAGACGGGGGCCACGTGGGGCGTCGCGATGGAGGAGAGTACCCTATTGATCGAGACGAAGGAGAGGAAAATAGCCGTCGAAACGAGCGAGTGAGCGAGCGAGCGAGCGAGTGAACGGGCGAGTGAGTATGTGTGTGAGTTTCGTTTCGTTTCGTTTCGAGGCGCGAGACCCGCCAGAAAAAATGTCTCCATTCTCGTTCCACGTCGGAGCTTCTCCCCCTTGCAAATCCGAGAGGGAAAGAAAGGAAGAAAAAGGGAAAATCGTTTATCACGCGCTCTTATGTGCCGTCCCTTTCGGGAGGGCGCTAAACCAATGGTGCACAATACGGTATAGACGACACACGGTAAATGGGAGTAATTACACAAAATAGCGCGATAAACCGTGCGCACGGATACACTTCGCCTTGCCCCCCCCCCCCCCCCCCC